CAGTTGGCACCAGGCTTGGCCCGCCGGCTTGGCTTTATTATAACACCACCCGTTCATTATTGTTGCAGTTGCCGTTGTTGTCGTCGGACTTGTTGCCACATTCTGCAATCTGCCGCATGTATCTTTTGCATCTTGCAGCTACTGCGTGGCTGTTGCCGCGTCTGTCGCATATTTCGATACACGTTAGTACAAGTATCTGTGTAGGTATCCGATCGTGTACTCGGATGGAGGGGCCACTCGCTTAATTAGCTGAGTAATTTATTATTGGTTTAATCTTGCTTTGCATAAATTTTATTAGGCCCGGCAGGCAGTCGGCCGCCTTTGCAATTGACAAATTCACAAACTTTCTTACATAATGCCATTTTTAGTTGTGATTAGTTTGGAAGCGATGTCAGCTGCCAAGAGCGGCGCCATATCTGTCGGTCTGTTTGTCCATAAAATCAACATAAATATGCCAGGAAACTGTGGAGCAAATCTACACTTCTGCACTAACAAATTTATTTTCAACTATTAAATTCAATTATAAATAAACAAAGAGTTTTGATTATGCATTATAATGTCCTTTAACCTTGCTGCGGCGTATGCGTACTTCAAACAGACCAAATGTGTTTCAAATCAGCGTTTCTTAAGTTGAGCTCAGACTCCCGTTTCTTTATTTCGTATGGACAGATATTATCTTTTTTATGCTGCTCTCTGAGTGTTTTCATGATCAAAGGCCCAACAGGTTTTTGTTATTTGATGTTTTGCAAACAGAATCTTTAGAATAGAATGTGAAGTTTATGAATAATCGGAACCGAATTGTATACACCCTGGTCTTGGTGAACAAAAAATGCAATGTAAAAATAGTTGAGTTTATTTAAAATATATATTTTTTAAAAGGAACACTATTTGAAATGAAATTTGGCAGCAATGCACAGCCACTGCTTAACACTGCTTGTTTATGAAATAGTTAACAACTGCTTATTAGTTTTCAACAGCTTGGGAAAGGTTTGTGTTTTTCATAAAAGTTTAACAATAATATGTGAAACTGTCTGTCATTTCGGATGTTAGAATTGAGCTAGTATTTCCGTAAATTGCTCTTTGTTGCCCTTGAAAGTATATGCTTGCTAAAATTAGCAAAATTCCAGCTCATTTATAGTGTATAAAAAAGAAAAACTTGTCCTTTTTAAATTAAGTTAAATACATTTATAGAATACTCCCTATCTTATACACAACTTGTTAGGCGGTTAGTGAATATTTATGCATAGTAAGATATGAAAGGTCTCATTTATGGATAGGGTATACACATAACTATAAAATGTTATTTCTCTATTTCCATAAATACAACATTACAAATTAGTTGCTACCGTTGCCACTTTCTTTTTCGTGATGTAGTTTTTAATAGAAATACAAATGTTTTCGCTGTGTATATTGTCTAGCGTAAGACTAAGAACTTAGAGATATGCTATTCCATTAAATAAACGAATATTGTACATACAAGTATATCGATACAAAAGTTTAACAATTATGTGGTAGCATTATCAAAATATTACGTTACATAATTATTATTTTTTGATTGAAGATTAGTTATATTAAACAAATTCTTGTAAATAACTAAATATTTTAACCTTGAAGTCCATATTTTAAAGCCCAACCCCAGTCGACGAATAACTTCCACCTTAAAATCACCTGCATATGTAAATTTGTATGAACTTTAAACTGAGGAAGGAGCTTGGCAGATGCTTTAGGAACTGTACGTTAAACAGCATAGACTGAGGTATGACTTAGGACATAGGACTTAGATGAGTAAGCAACAGCTTGTTATCAAATCTTGCCCCATATTCAACATAATCTTGTAAATAACTAAATATTTTGACTTTGAAGTCCATATTTTAAAGCCCAACACCAGTCGACGAATAACTTCCACCTTAAAATCACCCGCATATGTAAATTTGTATGAACTTTAGACTGAGGAAGGAGCTTGGCAGATGCTTGAGGAACTCTACGTTGAACAGACTAGACTTAGATGAGTAAGCAACAGCTTGTTATCAAATCTTGCCCCATGGTGCTTGTAGGAAGCTAGTCGGGCTCCCCTGTTTCCTGGACCAAACTGAGGCCCATTGACGTCTCATTGTTGATCAGAGCTACTGTCGCTATTAAGTGTAGGACGCAGTCGTTGTCGGCACGACATCTGCTGGGCACAAAGTCCGGCTTAATGCCCTTGCTGGCAGCAAGCAGCTTGGCTTAAATATGCAGCCAGCTATGATCTGCATTACTTAATAGTTATACCCGCAATAAAGATACCCACTAAATATGTATGTAGATGCAATCGCACAATTATGTCCAATTATCTAACAGCTGCTCGTCACTGCGCCCTGACAATCCCCCCTCCCCACTCCTCCAGTCCATCCCCTTCCGAGGGGCCTGAGCCGGAGAAAGTGCTTTGTCTAGTTTACTTAGCAGAACGCTCGCCCGTTCCTTCATATCATTGACTAATGAGCCCCTCTGGAAGCCCCTCTGCGGCGCTTGTGTCGTAAAAATTAAAATGCATAATCGCGGGTGTTGCATTGCGCTCGTTATTCCAACTATGCACGTCATTAAAATGATGCCTCCTGTATGGCAAAATGCAGAAATTGCATGTCGCATGTTGCACTGAATGAAATTGCCACTTCTGGCTGAGGGCCATTGACATTGTGTGGCAATTAAAGCGAGCAATTAGCCGATTTATCACTTGTGCGCTGTTTGATATAGAAGCAAAAAATTGCTCCTCAAATCTCGCCCAACAATAAGAAATTGTTTTGCAACTCTTTGTGATGGGATGTTGCAACTCTTTCTCAATTCTCCCATTCCGGCTTGGCATCTACCATTCGCTGTTCTATTGGCTCTACTATTTTGCGCATGCGCGCCAGTGCTGGCTGCGCCGGCAGCGCTGGAAGCGCTTCTTGGCCAATATAAAGCTCAACTTCTTAGCGCGCTCAGACTCATTTTCGTTTGAACGCGTCTGCAGTGAAGAGTGGCCTTCAATTCATTATTCTGGTTAACTACGCGCGTGCCGAGCAACGAGCAATTGGTTCAGAGTGAAGACTGAAAAGTGTAAGCGCCTATTAGTGCGTTAAGTGTAAATTGCAATTGTAATTCGGGATTGAGTTGAGCAGCACTTCTCTATTCAAACATTTTGCAAATGAATAGAATGAACACCAGGACTGAAAAGTCTGCAAATATAGTGTAAAGACAATATCTCACACATTTATTAAAAGTGGACTATTGTATTTTTTTTCTAACTCGTAAATGATGAACACATAAAAATAGTCTAGCTTGTGCCCCCATTAAAGAACGCGGAGACTAATTTAGACTCTAGATATATCAAATATATACTGCTTTCTATAAATTTTCAGTAGTTGTATACAATCAGGCATGTGTAAAGCGAAAAGAATTAACTCACGATAAAAAAGACAATATAAGATACTTATTCCAAAAGTAGATTTATAAACGTAGTTGATTTTTAAAAACTTTTTTTGAATTGGCAACTTAGTCTTGCACGGATAGCAAAATATTTATATTCAGTCTGCAACATTAAAAAAAACAATAACTACCAATTCGAATTTTTAGAAAAACCTGTGAAAAAAATATGTGTAGAAAAATTTATATAGATCCACTTTCGTTCGTCGATAAAAACATAAAAATGTGCGAATTATTAACCTTGAGATCACTCGAATAAATATTAAGATCGTGTTGTACAAAATTTTGTAAAAATTGGGTTTTATTTTATAGCTAAATATTATTATTGATTGAAATAAATGGAGAAATTAGTGAGCGAAATTAGATCCACTTTCGTTCGTCATTAAAAACATTAAAATGTACGAATTATTAACCCCGAGAACACTCGAATGAATATTAAGAATGTGTATACAAAATATCTTAAAAATTGGATTTTATATTATAGTCAAATATTATTATTGACTGAAATAAATGCAGAAATCAATTTTCCCAAAATCGCCTGATATATGCAGAATCTTTTGATAATTAAGTAAAAATGGAAAAAAGTTTGTTTTAATTTTTAATTAGTTAGTTTTGCTAGAGAATGTATTATTTTTTCGAAAAGGAAAATGTCAATTAGATTGATGAATTTATAGATGCAGAAAGAAGATTGTATCTAATTCGATGAACCATTTTTTTAGAGAGAACTTTATAGATTTATTTTTTGTTCGAAGTAGCTATAACATTTTATGCTTGTTGTATTGGAATTTAATTTTATTCGGTTGCTATTTACTCTGCACAGTTAACACACACGTATTTAAAATCAAGTGAAGCAACTATTAAATCAAATTCAACATCTATACATAATCTTTTTAATTTTTAAAGAAATACAAATCCTTACTATAAAATCAATTCTTCGAAGCAAGTCTTTAAAGTTTTAAAGCTATTCTTACATTCTATACTCCGGCAGATTATGCAATTATTTCTTTCTTGTTAAAGCTAACGCAACCAAATTTGGTCTTTGGAATTTTAAATAAATCGGAAAACTACTACCCATACTATAGTTACAATAGAAGCTACACATCAGGTTTTTGTCAATGTTTAAATATTAATATTTGTGTTATTTAAAAGCCTAGGAATTTGGGCGTCAGCATAACGCTCTGCAGCTAAAGTAAAAAAAAAAAAAAAAAAATTAAATGTATTTTACCATATAAGCGAATGAAATCTATCTTTTGATTTTTAACCTAATTTGTATTTTACAACGTGGTGCACCAGTGCTAGTATTTGCCTCCAAATTAGTTGAGAAAGTAGTGGCAAAGAGCAGATGCGCGGCATAATGATCTAACGTTCTGCCAGCTTTTCCGTTTGGCGTGTGAAAAACCGTTGCGGCATTATGGGTGCGCGCATGCGCATTGTTGGCACTTGTTGCGTAGTTAGCATAATCGGCTGGCAGCTAATGGTTGATTAGTTAAAGATCAGCCTGAGCAGATAAAATCGTAAAAGCGGCATCATTATAATTCGCGACGTACTCTTTACAGTTACAGATGGCAGCGATGGCAGCGACGGGCATCTCTTGGTCTGGCTCTTTTGTACACATTGTGTTGGCTCTGCTGATGTGTGTCCAGAGTATGGTGGCCGCGAATCCAAATTTATCGCAGCTGGTGAAGAAGCAGGTGCAGCAACAACAACAGCACCAACAATTGGCGAGTGTTGCTGGAAAGGCTTCAACGCAACAGCAACAACAAGTGCCTCATCCTCATCACGTGGCACAGCAGCAATATGTACACGATCCTGAATCTTTACCGGACCATCAGGAACTCAAAGGGCTGGGTGGGGAGGAGGATACGCTTTCAGATCCCTATCAGATGCAGGAATCGCGCTTGCCTGCGTCCTCAAACTATGCCTGGAATCCTTATGCCGCAGCTGCAGTCAACCCCTATGAGAGTGGATCTCCTCCACCGCCACCGCCAGTCATGCCCATGCCCAAGATGTTGCCGTTCATCGGCTATGCCCAGCCGGTGTTTATACCCTTTCCACTATATATAGCACCCGATATGTTCTATCCCACCTACCAGAGCAGTAACAACGATTTGGATGATATGGTCATGTCACGAGCTGCGGCCAGTGGGCGACGTCCAGCAGCAGCAGGAGCAGCACCAGGCGCCGGCTTTCAGCGCAACTCTCCCATCTATTATGTTCGTCTGCCGCCCACGCCGTACATGTTTGTGCCAAACATGGCGCCGGGTCCATTTGGCAGCAGCTTCTCGCCGTTGCTTACTTACCAGCCTATGCCCACGTTCTCACCCTTTGGTTCTGTTTTTAACTTGCCAGTAAATTTCTTGGCCAATGGCAAACCGTCTGGAATTTATCAAATGAATGGCGCGCCCACTGATTTGGCACCCTTTGCATCTAGCAGTCTATCTGGCGGTCTAGGTATGCGTCCACCTACGCCCAGCAATCCATACAGACCCACGTCTACAGGTGGTTATATGCCGCCGCAGCATGGGTTCGGTCTCACCGCTGTGCCCGCCCCACAACAGGATTCGAAGCTGACCTCCCTAAAAAGACCGTTCCTATTTAATGGACGTCCGGAAGATATTTATATACTGCCTAATAACTTTAATCCACTCTACAACGAGCAAAGCTATTACTGAGCAAAAGACTAGCCTTGAACAGAAAGTATTATTGAACGCATTTATGAATTTAATTTAGCATGCCTTTGAATAAAAGTTTTTAAATAATTAACAAAAAAACAAAACTTACAAATTCCAAGTGAATGCATTTTACTGCTTTAATTTCATTAGCTAATTAAGTTTTGAAGCCATGGCGCGTTCCAATGATTACGGCGATGGGTAAGCCCAAGACTTTATAATCTAAAACATATCATATTAGCCGCGCTTTATTTCGCGCTTATAGTATGGCCGCACTAAAGTGCTGCCAATTCCGTCGATGCCACGGTCTGGCAAGCTTGAGCTCACATATGGGCGCCGCCATATTGAGTCATCGCGATATGAGTCATCGATATCGAGCAAGTCCGATTGTCGATGTTTTAGTTCTAGTTTGTTGGCAGCCTTGGTCTGGCTTTTAGGTCCAAAAGCGGATTTCCAAAAATATACGTGCGCGTAAATTAAGCGCTAAAATCGAGTGTACATTATACATATATACGCGAATTCCGAAATTTTATTACACGTATACACGTAGCATATATTCAAAACCGTTGCCGCCGCGTCATACACACAAACGCACACGCATACCTCATCCCTCTACTGCACCAAAACAGCAACAGCCTGCCCCACAAGTGTTACTAATTTTGTATTAATAGTTGTGTTTTTATATTGTGTGTGTAAAAAATGTTCAGTTTTTTGAAGCGCGAGAAGAACCACCAGGAGGTTGTCGAAAATGTAATTGGCGAGCTGAAGAAAATATATAGAAGCAAATTGTTGCCACTGGAGGAACACTATCAGTTCCATGACTTTCACTCGCCAAAGCTGGAAGATCCGGACTTCGATGCCAAACCCATGATACTGCTGGTTGGTCAGTATTCGACAGGCAAAACGACGTTCATACGTTATTTGCTGGAACGCGATTTTCCGGGCATTCGCATTGGTCCAGAACCGACGACAGATCGTTTTATTGCCGTAATGTATGATGAAAAGGAGGGCGTCATTCCCGGTAATGCGCTGGTCGTGGATCCGAAAAAACAATTCCGCCCACTCTCTAAGTACGGCAATGCGTTTCTGAATCGCTTCCAGTGCTCCAGCGTTGGGTCTCCTGTGCTGCAGGCTATCTCAATTGTGGACACACCCGGTATATTGTCGGGCGAGAAGCAGCGCATTGATCGTGGCTACGACTTCACCGGCGTGCTTGAATGGTTTGCAGAGCGCGTTGACCGCATCATACTGCTTTTCGATGCCCACAAATTGGACATATCCGATGAGTTCCGACGGTCGATTGAGGCGCTTAAGGGTCATGATGACAAGATCCGCATTATTCTTAATAAGGCCGACATGATTGATCATCAGCAGCTGATGCGCGTCTATGGTGCTCTCATGTGGTCCTTGGGAAAAGTTCTGCAAACGCCGGAGGTGGCACGCGTCTATATCGGCTCGTTCTGGGATCAGCCTCTGCGCTTCGACGCCAATCGTCGACTCTTTGAGGATGAGGAGCAAGATCTGTTCCGCGATCTGCAATCACTGCCACGCAACGCCGCGTTGCGCAAACTCAACGATCTGATCAAGCGTGCACGCCTGGCCAAGGTGCATGCGTTCATAATTGCTGAATTACGCAAAGACATGCCCTCTGTATTCGGCAAAGACAGCAAAAAGAAGGACCTGATTAAGAATCTTGGTCAGGTGTACGATCGCATTCAGCGCGAACATTCAATATCGCCAGGCGATTTCCCGGATATCAAAAAAATGCAAGAGGTGCTACAGCACCAGGACTTCACCAAGTTTCATTCGCTGAAACCACATCTGCTGGACATTGTGGACAATATGTTGGCAAAGGATATTGCACGGCTGATGGAAATGATACCGCAGGAGGAATCGATGCTCGTTTCCGAGGCGGTTGTGAAGGGTGAGTGCGAAACAAGATATTTTGAGTGTCCAGCATAGCTGTTACCTTCTTTAACTTTTTCCATTTCTATGTGCTTTTACGCCCCTGCCACCAATGTGCTCCATTAAGACATTGAAGGTAAAAAAGAGAGTGTTCGCAAAGCAAGTGCACAGTGCACTTGACCACTTGGTTACTTTGTCATCTCCTGCCACTATTGGCACGCATCATCATCAATTCGCTGTGCTCCGGCACGCTGCACCCAAGCACTAAGCACCCACATGCCCCCACTTGTAGCTTTAGTAGACATTTTATTTATAATTAATAGTTGTGCTGATTCAAAGAAATGCCGATAAGTCATGGGTGCGGCACTCGCCTAATATTTGTGAGTGCAAATATTGGCATGAAAGGAATGTAATCAGCATTTACTGGAGATACACTTTCAGCACTACTCGTCCATGTCGTCCTATCCATATTGGGCACAATTTTCCTTTTGCCTCATTTGCTCATTGCAATGAAATTGCGTGCACGCGCAAATGCTGAAAACAGTAGCGCAAGTTGACCCAGTTAGCGAAATATGCGAAACTGTGAAAAACCAGTTTTCAAGCAGACTGTGCACACAGATCGTGCGGCAAAGAGAGCGGGAGTGAGAGTCATGCCATAGCCAAATGTATCTAATAGATACAAATACAATTTAACTGTGTAACAGCGCATGTAGCAATGTTTTCAAAGCTAAACTAAGCTGCTTGAGGAAAAGGCATTCTTTGGAAAGTTTTGCCAGCGAAAGGAGCGCCCAAATTCGGGAACTTGTTGCAAATACTTATACTTATTTTAATTTAATTCACATTCAAGGCTACGTTTATGTGTTCTCTAGTGTTCAAGTGCAGTTGACTCATAACACTACTTAGCTTCCACAGAAAAAACCAATATGCACAAGTGCTTTCTATTTAGTTTGGTCTTCACAAACATTGACAGCTTCCTCTTTAAGTATTATGCAATGCTTAGCATATACAGGGCTATATACGAGTACGTACATAGCCACAGCCATAGCACATAAACAAACAGATAAGAATTTGCGCTGATAAGGAAAATAGAATAAAAAATATCCCGAGTGTTGCCGGCTAGTGCGAGTCTCAGCACATTTCCACGGGCCGTTGCTTTAAACGCACTTTTTGGCAAAGTAAATATAATTCACACAACCAAAATAAACATGAGACAAAGTAAACAGCCAGCAGACTTGCCGGCATATCTAAGAAAACAGTTTCTAAGACCGATGATAAGGCGTTACCATAAAACGCTCGGAATCGGTGATGCAACATATTGTCATATTGTCTAGCCTAATATTGTCGGACCGATACTGCGGCAGTATTTTATTTGACTAAATGTATCCCTGAATTCTCAATAAGGAAAATAGTATAATTTGTCATGAAGCCACCTTAAGCTTTAAATAAAAATTTGAGAAAAGGTTCATATTTATGATTTATTGCCTTTCAAAGCCAGATCTTATTAAATCGTATTAAATGGTTTAAGGGCATTTGATGATAGTCTAGGGTATTTCGTATTTCCATTCTATTTCAGGCCGTCCCTTTATGGTGAATCTTTTTTTATGTAATCTCTTCTATATACCGATTAATACTGTACTTAGTTTTTGTATTCGTCTTCTGCTGAAATGAAGAAATGTTTGTTATTTCCCGATTAACCACATATATTTGGTGAATATGAATATAAATAGATAACAGGTTTATTTTTAGAGAGCGAAAATATGTCTATTAATCGTTATTTGGCGTTTTCAATTGAGCTTCTTTACAATGAATCGATTGTCAACTTTTCTGTAAATTTCTACTAGGGCTGACCCTCACTGTGTGTGTGAGTTATATGCTAGTTGTATTTATATATTTGGCCTTATCAAGGTTTCCGTTTCGTCATGGTAATAACATTCGCTCATGCTATCAACACCAAAAATTGATATGGGAGCTATGATGTAAGTAGGGGGTATACGTCAATAGCTTCGACGACGCCTGACAATCGCTCCCCATTAAGTATCCGCCATATTTGTGTGTAATTGAGTTAAAAGTGCCGAGTATGAGTCATCTCTCACATTCAGTTATTAGCGAGCATACAAAGTTGGCTAAACATAACGATGGGTACAGTTATACATGATAAATATTTTACACTTCAGCGCACTGGCGCTAATGTAAAGAGTTGGTAAAAGAGTGGATGCCTTCTAACTGCATACTAGTCATGGGGGCGAGGGGCTACGGCTACGGCTGCCCAGACAAATGCAAGCGAGCATGACGGGCACGCATTAAAAAGTTCCACTAATACCACGGACAATGGACATAGCTAAGCGGTCAACGGAAAGTGACGGAGCGTATGCTCAGCAATAATGAATAGTCAAGTGAAACATGGACCGAGAAATTAATCAACACCCGAGCAAAGTGAGCAAACATTCACAGATTAAATATTAAGCTAAACAAAAAGCCCCATGCATGTGGGGAATGGCGCCTCGTACTTTTGTACTCAAAATACGATTACTTTATATGCAATTAACGCTGAGGCTCTTCTCTACTTTACACAGTTGTTTGACTGGTTAGCTAACTGACCTCTGCACTTTTTATACACTGCTTTTATAAGTGAGTGAAAAGGGAAACCGCAAGGGGATTTGAAGAACACCCAATTATTTCGCGAAAACGAAACACCGAACATCAGTTGTAATTTAATATAATTTAACATTATTTAAAAAAAGTAAGCCACTTAAAAAAAACCACAACTAAAGCGGTGGGTTTTGAATTGGTGTAAGGATCCCAATTTTTATTATTGCAGAAAGTTTGAGATCGCGTGTAATATCGTGAAATAAATATATTCTATTGGAGGAATATTGTTTTCCGCTGTTTTATTATCATTTCATAAATTGAAATTCCCAAATCCTCTTCGTATCTACAAAATTGATTGACTGAGGGTATTTCGAAGTCTGACAAGCTCGTCTACAGTCTATTGCTGAGCGCATTCTACACTCTCTAGGTGCACGGCTTTTTGTGTTGACTGTTTACCTACTTTGTTGTCTGGCCACATCGATTCCACTTTTGCCCGGCGCGTGAATGGGTTCAAGGCCTCTGGGTGTTGTTGCTCCAGTTCCACTTTGCTTCATTTGTTTTAGGCACGTTAGTGCTGGTAGCACCTGCTGTTGTGTTTCACCTAATGAATTGTTTATATTGAAGTGTTTGTGCTAGTCCCCAACGCGTTTTCCAGTTGCGTGGAGCACTCATTTCATTGACTTTAGACCTTATTATTAAAACATGGTTATGTGAGTGTGTTCTGCTTAATGTTCTGCTGTAGTGACAACGGCAAAGCTTATCATGTTGCCAAGCGTAGATAATGTATCTGGCGTGCGTCTATGTTATATGATAGATAAAAGTTACCTTCAGCCGCACTTCGAAGCCGCCACTAAGCCGGACGTGCAATGTCAGTTAGTATTTATTGTTTCCAGGGCGAAGAAATCGCTATGTAAACTAAATATTGTATATTTTACATTTAACTGTAAGTATGTATATATAGTGGCTGTGGAAAATATTTGATTGATATTTCATTTTAAATAGATAAACCATAGAATTGATTTGCCAATCACATATAGTTCTTCTCTCTGATTTATATGATCATAGTTTTTGAATTAGCTGTGAAACTAATCTTTAAATGCATTTAATGTAAACAAAATTACAACAAACTTCTTTTCTAAATATTCTTTTCCAAAAGTTAAATACTTGTACTTCCGAATAAAATGCTTAAAATTAAAGAGAAAACTAAAAGTGATTCTAAGTGCATATTACATCCTTCACTGAAAAGTATATTGTTTTTCTGTTTAAGCTCATTTAAATTAAAAGCTTGAATTAAATATCAAATAGAATTAAAATGGTGAAAACTGTCAACCTTCGTCTTTCGCTAACTTGTTGACATTACGAATTTTCTGGATATGTTGGTAGGTGCTCTAGTTTATTTGGCCAGCACTGTGTATGCTACACATCCTCATACATTGTAGTATCGCCCACTGATTAGCGACGACGTTCTTGTGCTAATTTCTAACAGCAAAACATACAGACCCGTTCTGTTTGTGTGATTGTGCCTGTGTCTGTGATGTGCGTTATCAAATCAAACATGAGCTCAGAATAAACAAAATGTAATTACAAAAATAAAAAACAAACGAATAAATTCCATTGTTGGAGGCATTTGAAATTGCCACGTTTGGATTGAAAAGGAAATGTAATTATACAAATTTGAAGGCGTCTGTGGATGTGACTGTTTATTAACGCATGATTAATGCTGTCTAGAACAAAGCTGTCACACTCTCCCTCTCCACATACACATCGTATTAAAAATAATGATTACTCAATAGGTGGTGTGTGGCACATAAAAATATATACATCCTCATAAAATTGGACGCCAGATTTACAACAAGGGCTCTAATTAAATATAAAATAAAAAATGAACCACAAAGCCACAAAAAAGTGAGTTCAATCATATGCACGATTTATTTGTTTAAAAATTGCATAATATTTAGTATTCATGTATGTATGTATAAATTATAAACGCAAACCAGAGCAGACCAGAGCACCTATGTATGTATGTATATGTGCCTCTAGTATTGGGCGTTTGTGTGTCTCTCTCCTCGGGCGCTGACATTGTCGACGAGGCAGTGTCCAGCCCATTCATTGTCGTAGCGACGATATCATCGTTGTCGTCGTCGTTGCCAAGAGTGTGAGTAAAATTTGCATATGACATGAGCCGAGCAACAAGCGGCCCGCTCCCACCATCGGCTAGCCAGATGTATATTATATAGACAGTTTTGATGCCTAGTTCTGCTACAGCACTGATCATGTGAATGGGTTTGGGGAAATTAAGCAATCGATTAAATTATTTAAACTTAGGAAATAACATTATCATTTTACAAATTAATTGTTCTCTTCTTCCAATGCCCGGCAAAATATATTTGAGTATTAATGTATCACGATCGGTAAACGGGTAAACTAGAAATTCTAAATGCCAATTGAAGGAAGGTAGTGGAAGACCTTATTTTATAGGTACATATATGATCAGCATGTCGAGACGAATCGATAAAGACATGTAAGAACTGCTGAACTATAATAGATAGGAATACCAATCTTGTAATATACCCGTAGGTTCATCTTATCCATACACAGATCAAGTTTATTGTCATTGTTTTAAACAACTGCCGTGGAATAACTTTGATAACTTTTTTGTTTATATAGATTTCCTAAGAAAATTTGGTATTTAAAGGTTTTTATCAAAATCGATGCACCATACACAAAGCTACCATAGGAACATTTAACAGTCATATTGGTTTAAAAGAAATATTCAACAAAACTGACCAACAATATTGTGCGAAATATCTGAGAATATACATATAGTACTTTCCCTGTTATGGATATATTTAGTGTCAGAAAGGGATCAGCTTGTGTGTGGAGTATCAGCCAAATGTGGATTTTTATTCAAAATTCAATACGTTATTAGCAAACTTGTAAATTGTAAATTGTGAACCACTGGTGTACTTGTTCATTTGATCACTGGTGTGTAATCAGAAATGGCGCGCAACCTGTGGCCGCGTATCAATTTGCAAAATACTTGGGACTGACTTGGGGCGTGTGGCCGCATTTAGTGGGAATGGGTATTAAGTGGCTTCATCCTATACACATATATCTCTATATAGCATATATGTACATACATATATCTGGAATGCACTTGTTGGCGCTTGTCTGAGAAGGCATTTTAAAATCAACTCAAGCTAAACGCAGGAAGAAAGCATTTACTTTTCAAATTCAAATTCTGCCATTGTCTGCTGCCCATTAGTGCTCGAAAAAAGTATTAGATTTAAATGATTGTGTGGTTTTTTTGTTTGTTTGTTTGCTAAAATTTTTTGTTACCCATTTGAGTGGGCTTTTTAATTAAACTATTTAGACCATTTCACACACAAAAGTGGTGACCTTCGACATAAATCCCTGCAACACCACACAGTTCTGTTAAAGAACTGGATTTCAAACTTAAAAGCTTTTCCCATATATAATCGTACATACAATATGTACATACATATATCCGCAAATATTCGGTGTACTTGTATGTTTGTGTGTTGACTGACGACGTTTATTCGATTTTTAAACTGATGTCATGCGATTGTTTGCCAATGCCAGGAACACTGCTGGAATGCGTCATGCCTTATAATGTTGTCATGGTTGGGGGAACAAATTTCTTTTACCCTGCTTACTGTTTATTGAACATACGACTCTCTGTATTTCATTTGATAGCCCTATATTTGAGCAGCAACAAAAAAGGGATCGACTGCACTAATTTAAATACACTTGCATGTGAATGAACCTTCCGGAGGGGCGTTTAAAATTAGCCGCAAGGCGACTCGTAAGACAAACCAAAAGAAATCACCAAAGAATGCGCTGATAAAGCGAAGAATCAAAGTCAAGAACTCGGCGACGCTAATTTTCTGTGTTTCTTCGTGTGTGTGTGTACATGTCGAAGCCAAATGAATGACGTTGATTTGCTTTTATTGTTGCTATTGTTATAGTTGTTGTTGTTGCCACTGTTTTGTTTCTCTCTTCTTGATTTTTGTGGTACTGCATATTTCCGTTGTTTTGTTTCGACTTTTTGGGTAATTGACATTCTGGCATGCAAAGTGCATTCAATATAGTGCGCGCTTAGAGTATGCGTACGGCACGCCTGGAAATGGGTACGATTATCAACGTAATACACTTTTGTTCAGACTGCATAATTCTTCAAATGAAACTTATCTCATTGCTCGGTTTTGTTTAAGATTTTTTTTTTGGTAAGCGACACATTGTCTTATAGCTACGATTCAATCTAATGCTAATTATTTTGGATATTGTTAAATTTTAGGTTTTATTCGTAATTACATTTTTTTTTTTAATTGAGGTAACAATCCCACATTTCTGATTAAAACAAACTACAAGCAGCCAACTAAACTTGACCTGAAAAATTGTTTTCCAAATGCGAATGCGAATACAGTTAGCTCAAATTTAAAGAAATTATAAATGCTATCCTGCTCGAGAATAATGGACAACTGTCGTGGATCCCAAGTATATTTTTTATAAGTGAACCCCAATTACTTTAGAATATAACTCTAAGCAAGTTAGATAAACTTTATCTAACCTTGCATATCAACTGTCAAAATGTTGTTATGTGACAAAACAGAAATCTTGCAGATCACGTCGTCACAAAACGTGTCTAACCGCATAGACTTTTCGCCAGCAACTCCAGCTCCACTTGCCTGAGATTCTAACATGTAGCTTTGTTTTAATTTTTTGTTTTAAATTTGTTCTTAGTTTGTTTTATCTGCATACCGACAACATACTGTGCGAGTGATGATCACATTTGAAACTGTATCACATGTTTAGCAATATGTCGCTAAAAAAAAGTTTCTACACACTCTCGCAAAAGTAAGTAAACAAACGCAACGACAATGACGGTTTTTTGCTTCTGGTTCGGTTCGTCGCTTCTTTTTCCTTATTTTTTGACAATGACACACTAATTTTCAGTTGATTTCCATGTTTGCGTCAAATGTGCCAACCATTTAAGTTTGCTTAGTCACGATCGCACCCGAAAATTCTTCACAGCCTCCACAACTGCTCCTCAAAACCATGTGAAATTCTTTTTCTCTTTTTGCATATACCCGTAACCTCATATCTCAGAAGAGGCTGCTGCCCCCGCAGCTGATGATGACCAAATTCTTGTTGTCAGCACAGAGCAAGAAACCGCGCCCCTTTCGGCGCGTTTCGATCGCTGGCTGCATAATCTGTTCGGCAGTTGTACTAGTAGTATAGGAAAAGTTGAGCCCGAAGGGGAAATCACAACTGTTGAGGTCGTCCCAGAGCCAATAGATACTGTTCAATCAGAGAGTGACAGTACAGACAATCCCATTGCGCCCATTGAAAGCGAAACCGCCCAGGTTCCAGAACTCGAGGCAGAGTCCATTGATGTAAGCGAATCATCATCAGTATTTTTAGGCGCCCAAGACAGCGCCAGCGAAAAAGGCGGGACAGACAGAAGGACAAGCGTACAGGCGGACGTCTTCCATTGGTTTTTATGAGACAAAAACGGCCGCAAATAAATTTAGCATGCGTTGAAAAGTGGCCAAGTGAAAAAAAGAAGGAACCTGCACATGCAACGCACAGTTGCGACGTCAATTTCAATTGGCGTGCCCATATGGGACGGCCACAAAGCGCCAGTATTGTTTGTTGCAAAGTAGCTAGACAAAAGTACATACTTAAGCGACTGACTGCAGTATGGCGGTCACGATATACGATATCAGACGACAATGACTAGAATGACGACGACTATGATAGCGGCGCGTCTTTCAATTGGAGTCTAAACGATCTGAAGGTTTTTAATTGCGCCTAATTGAATGGTTTTCGTGCACGGCGACGCACCGTACGACTTGGATTACATCGCTTAATTAATATAGATTTATCGACCTAAATATACTAATGCAAAATAAGCCCAATTTGATTTTCATGCATTTTTTATTTGCAGGTGGTGCCTTCGAGGGTGTCATCGACGACCACGTCTCACCATTCGGATACATGAAGGGCGAGGGCATCGATGCTGGTTATGGTGAGCACGATTGGATATGCAATAAGGAGAAACCCCAAACAGATATTATCTTCAATGGACTGCATCCGATCGATGGCAAAATATCGGGCGCAAGTGAGTACAGAATACCAAAAAATAAAAAACATATGGCCATAATAATAATCTTATCCAAATTCCCTGCAGCTGCCAAACAGGAGCTCATCAAATCGAAACTGCCGAACTCGGTGCTTAGCAAAATCTGGAAACTCTCCGATGTCGATGGTGATGGTTTTCTCGATTCCGACGAATTCGCGCTGGCATTGCACTTAATCAATGTCAAACTGGATGGCTGTGAGCTGCCTACTGTGCTGCCCGAACATTTAGTACCACCGTCAAAGCGTTGCTGAGCAAAACCACACATACATATGTTCTGATTCCGTATATAGATCACTGTATAAGACAGACAGACAGTACAGACACTGACACTCAAACCTTTAGGGTCTTCACAAAACAATCTGTTGTGCTCTGTTCTTTTGTTTAATTGTAATTCAACGCAACTAACTTCTGTTATTTTGTTCGTCATACGATACAACCAGTTTGGAGCATCGAAAGCATTGTAATATAAAGTATCAACACGCAAAGAAATTCACGGAATTTACACAAAACATATTTTTGGATACCAATCAATTTTAAATTGTATAAAAGAAAGCTACCTATATTTAACGAAAACATAGTGGAATTATAAACACTGGACTGTATATGCGCCGCCTAGACACCCAATGAATGTCGTTGTTGATGTAAGACAAAAGTAAAAAAAAAGAATTGTTAGGAATTAAAGGCAACTGTTGCCCGATGATTTGAAAGTGAATGAAGTAAAAACGTATACAATAATTAAGTTAAATAAAAACAAAACTATGCACAATGCATGCCACAAGTTGTGCAATTTGATATATGTATGTATTTAAAAATGCCCACGATAATGGGCAAATTTATATTTATTTTGCTTTATTCTATTATTTAAAAACAAATGCTCTATACACAACAAATGAAAGAGATGTGCAATTAAAACGTTGTTTGTTAATGCAAAAGATTGCCTTTGCTTCTACTATTTTATATAATTTAGTCCAATCTTGAATACTATGAAATGTGAAATGAAAATTGATTTATAAACTGTATAAAATTTCAAATAAAATGGAAAATTTTTAACTGTGTGGCTACAATCACTTCTGACAATGGCATTCACAATAAGTAGAACTCTGACTGTATTGTTCTTATTGGCCACGTTCAAGTTTATCATTAATCGGCCACAGTCACGTATTTTGTAGCCTAAAAGGAGATATGGATAGCTGCATATGTACATATGTATATATTTCTATCACCATTCATCAGATTAAAGAATATTAGTATATTAGAAAAGAAAATTAATTTCATGAGGCGTTGCTAAATTGTTTATGCGAAGAAGAATGTGAGTATACAATTTTTAAAACATTCTGTATCTACATAATTAATATTTGAATGTAAAAACCTATTTATTTAAAGTTAAGCTCAATTTTTTTTTTAAATTATGCTTTTACTATGTTAGATGAGAAATATAACAATTGATCCTACAGAAGATAAGGAATAAATCTATTATACCTAAGGACAACTTTTGGCGACTACATACCAGAAAACAAGTATATTTCTTTTCAGGTTTTGGTCTATTTTAATCGATAAGGGAATCAGTTTGTCTTAATTTCATATACTTTTCTTGAAAATCACAATCTGAACAGCGATATCAACAGAGTTAGTTAGTTCAATCAGCAGTTTACTTAACATATGGGCCAAAGTATAATCTATTAGTGCCTCAAATTTAACAACCTCGACCTATTACCAAATACAGTTTTATTAAACATTGCCGAGCCAGCTTTTCCTGTTAAATTTAATCAAGTCTAGAGCGAGACCACTATCTTTAAGAACTGCCTTGAACTTCTTTTGGCAATTTGGCTTTCACTTTCAGCTGCGAACAGCTGTTCGACGAACACCAAATCCAAACAATTCCGCAATAAGATTCAATGTTATATTGAAGTCGATAATATTACTTAACTTTGTTTCATATTGCATTCGTTTGTAAAAAGAGCTTTGTATTTACTCGTTTCGCTTATATTACTCATTTAGTATCGTTTATGGGCCGCATACCTAACTTAAAAAGCTCGCTAAAGCTGCCAATATACATGAGTATATGTATGTATGTATTAACTTTTTTGTGTGATGCTAGTATTAAACAGAGAAGCTAGCTGGCAGGTCACTTGTTTTTAATATTATAAGTAAAAGTTTGGTAATAAAGTTTCTTTAATAACTTAAAAATAATGGCCACATACGAAGAAGTCAAGGATATACCCAACCACCCAGATAAGTATTTGATTGATGTGCGCAACAAGTCGGAATTGGCCGAGACCGGCGAATTACCAGGCAGCATAAACATACCATGTAAGTAAAAGTGAACAGAATTTGCCGGCTAAGCATTATTCAGCAAAAATTTATTTACATATGTGTTTTGCACCTGCGCGGCGTTTCAGTGCCAGAGCTGGAAGACGCACTGAAATTGTCAGATGCGCAGTTCAAGACCAATTTTGGCCGCAGCAAGCCAGCTCCAGATGCAAAAATAATTTTCTCGTGCAAGGCAGGAGGACGTGCAGCGCGCGCCGCCAATACGGCCAAGACCATAGGGTTTGCCAAGTAAGTTGAGCTGTGTACATAACAATCTATATGTATTTATTTTCTGTATAAAACAAATTTTAGCGCTAAGGCTTATCCGGGTTCCTGGACCGAATGGGAGCAGAAACAAAAACAGTAAAAAACACAATACAATGGAACATACAAAATTTAAAACTTGTAAAAGAAATATTTTGATAACCTAGCTAATAAACTAACTAAACCTAAGCTCATACTTTGACTTCCTCAAGTTCGCCCCAGCTGCGACCGATTTTCAACTTCACTTTCAGCGGTACATTCAGTTTTACGCAATTTTCCATTGTCAGTCGCAAAACCTTGGCTATCTTTTTAGCCTTATCTGTTGGCACTTCGAAAATGAGCTCGTCGTGCAGATGTAACACCAAATTAACTGCGTTCTTCTCCAAGCCCAGTTTCTCACGGTAGCGTTCTATGTTCTTCTCCATCCGTAAAATGGCGCTTTTGGCTATATCTGCTGCAGAGCCCTGTACGGTGGAGTTGATGGCCTGACGTTCAGCTTGACCTGTAGGGAAGGACATTAAGTGTGGTTAGTTACAATTGGTAATATTTAAAGCACGCCAATGACGTCAAAGGTCAATCGCTATAATCAATATTTTACCTCCCACCGGCACAACTCTTCCATTTAGTAGCAAGTGTACGTGAGCTACCACTACGAAAAGTTACAAACGAGCAATTTCCTTCGTTTGCGTTTGAATTCATATCGATTTGCTGTCGGTATGTTTGGATTTGATTCACAACACAAATAAATTACATATGCATATACTCGTACTATATCGCGAATGCCACCTCAGAGAGAGGCATGGCAAACACATCAAAGTGTATTAGTTCCTGATAAGCATGTCGACGTAATTTCATATCAGCTGGCTTTAAAAGAACTCGGGGCACTAAATTTAGTTGGCTTACGTTTAACTATTAAGCATGATGGACAAATTCCATTTGTATATTCGAGGTTGGGGTAAATAATTGTAAATTTAATATTTATTTCAAATATACTCTACGGGGCTCAATAATATTTATTTTGGGTCTGGAAAACAGATACGCAATAAATCGCCCAGTCGTTGCAAATCTATTAAATTCTCAGACGATTTGTGGCACTATCTAGCACGAACAGGAGTTAGTCCTTAGCCGTATCCTAATGACTACAGCCCAAGTATAACCTAGGAAGGCAGAAGGATTGATGCTAAACATTTCGTTCGTATGGATGAGGATGGAGCACTTCGGCACGACTCCAAATTTTACAGGAATTCCTCAATCAAATGCGAATACACCGAGGCATCTTATGATCTTCCCACGGCCCACTGGTATATTAAATGGGAAGCACGTTTTAACTTACTTTTTAAATGCGGTTCACCGCTGTTTATGTGATCCAAATAGCGTCGTCGACCAGTAATGGTCTCTACATATCCATTGTTTCGCGCAAATTTCACCACCTTGACGGTGTAGGCCCTAAAAACAAATTCACTTTATTACAGTTCTTTAAGTTGGAGGTAACCCACCCACCTAATGCCTGCATAGGCTACATGAAATTGTTCGGATATCATTTGTGCCTCCTGTTCCGTGCATTTCAAGGACTCCGCCAAGCTGCGCATTCCCATGCCGTAGACAATGCCATAGCAGATTTGTTTTGTGCCATTGCGCAGCTGCTCAGAAACTTCAGACTCGGGTATTTTATTCCAATGTGCCGCTATGGCAGAAAACAAATCCTGCGGCGACTTCATTACACTTAACAAAGCAGCATCTTGGGATAAGTGGGCCAATATACGCATCTCCAATTGACAGAAATCTGCCGAGAGCAGGCAGCGTTTCTCGTTCATTGGCGCAAAAGCACTACGACACGATATCTTAATCTTTTCACCTCCTACTTCCACATCAAAATCCTTGGCTACATTTTGCAGATTTGGTTCCGACATGGAAATGCGACCAGTGGCTGTGTAGGTGATGCTCTGACCGTGAATTCGATTTGATTCGCAACACTTGAGCAGCGGTTGCATGTTCTTCGACAACGTGACGGCCAATTTACGATAATTAAGAATCAGTTGCGATATGGGCGAGTCTAGTTTTTCCAAAATTTGACGGGATGTGCTCACGCGTCCATTGGTTTTACGGTGCAGGCCGAGAACCTTGGCAACGGCCTGCGTGGACCCAAGATTGAAACGCGAGCCATGCAGTTCGTATATTTTCGCCTCCAGTTTCTTCATGGTATTTAGCATTTGTTGAAAGAGGCGTTGCAGTCGATGCTCCTTGGCCGGAAAACCCAAGCATTCCATTTGACAGAGTGATACTTGTAGTGGCATTTCAAGTTCTGCGGATGAGTTAATTGCTGAGAATTCAAAACTGTACGGGAATGGGTATTTGTTATACCTCTGAAGAACTTAAGCAGCTGCCCAGTGCCTATACGCTCCAGATTCTCAACTTGTCCTTTCAATATATGCACGCTAACACAGGCCTCGATAGAAGCACGCACCTTCGGCAGTATGGCGTTGGAGGCATCTAGACCGTAGCTGCTATAGCCACGTCCGCTGCCACAAAGTTGCGCGAGCGCCGTGCATTCGGGTGCAAATTGTTGAGTCTAAAAAGTGGGATAGTTCATAAAGTAGTTATTATGTTCATTTTTGGAAGCACTCACCATATTCTGAAAGCTAAGAGTTTTGTCCGGCTGCAGCAGCCAGTTTCCCACCTTGGGATCCTCCATTTTCACGTTTATATTCTGCAGCTGTGGTAGTGCATGACGCAACGTTTTCAGTTGTTCCTTGCCATCATGTATAATCAATGTAAGGTCGGGGCATGTGAGGAGCCTACATAGCTGCTGCACTTTTAGCTCGCTACTTACGATCTCATCCTGCTGCATGTCCATGTAGTAGACGACATTGTCGGCAACACAAAATGACAGGCAAGCTATAAAACTGTTGTCATCTACTTGGAATAATATCTTAGTACCTGCGGCCGCTTCACGCTGAGCCGCTGCTGCCATTTGATTGAGCAGGAGATTGGCTCCAATGATGGGTTTACTTTTCCCAGCCTGGTGTTGCAAACCCACGCTCATACCCAAACGCTGAGCCCTGTGCAGCTCCTTTAACGCCTCATGGAACAGTTTCTGATTGCCACATATGTCTATGACGTCTATACTTCTAAAACTGGATGCGCTGTCATCGACTTTAGAGCAGCTTAGGATATGGGAAGCATTAAGCTGCAGTGGGTGTTTGATTAACGAATTTTCGAGCGACATGTCTGACATCTCTATCGAGGAACTGTGCTGTTCTGGCTCATTGGTAACTGGCGCAGGGACTGGAGGACTTTTATTGGTTTGTATTGGACTCTGTAGCCTTTGGGTGCGAAGCTGATAGGAGCGCATCAGACGGGATGCATGCGGAGTTTGGGCATGGAAAACACTCTTCGACGATGATTGTAGATCATCCTTAGGCTGAGAGCTGGGTATTTCATCGGCATCCGTATTGGCATCGCTATTTGAAATTGTTGACGCATCGGTGGATGCTTTGGCACGTGCTTTGCTCTCTGCTGCGGTGAGTGCTGCCGTCAAGCCTGTGTTTAACATAAAGGAGTCCTCCTCCATAAAAAGATCTTGTTCTACAGCAGTGTCAGTTTTTCTTCTGGTGTCGTTCTCTGCTTCCTTCTTGGTGGATTGATGATTTCGTGGACTGCGGCGCGGCAATTGATTGGAAGTGCCATTGGCTTTAGTGCCTTCTCCAGCACTTTTTGGTGTAACCGGTTTTGGATTGGTTATGGGAGTCTTAAAGGATTTGGTCATATTGTTACTATCGGCATTCTCTTTGTTCGATACAGATTGTGTCTTAATGGGCGTGTCCTTTGGCAAGCCTTGCCGCACATTATCCAACTCCGCGCGTTTCTTGTTCATTTTCATTAGAGCGATGCGACGACGTTCGGCGATTTCCTTCATCAAGAGCTCCTTGCGAACGGCGACACTTGTACTGGCCTTCTCTGAAGCCACTGATGGGGTTGGCTTAGGGCGAGCTGATTGGGTGTTTACTTCTGGAATGATGGGGTTTGTTTCTAAAACGGCTGGATCCACTTTTAGTGTCGCGGTCGTGGTCGTTACTACAGGTTCCTGTAATGAATATAAGAATAATGTTGTACCTATTGGAGGAATTTTATACAATGTATTTTTACCTTTGGATTAGATGGGGTTTCATTATTTTTTGTGTAGTTTGGCTGCACTTGGGATTTATATTGTAGGTTTTCAGTCTTTTTCCCATTGCTAGTTGTTGAATATTGTGAGCTATCACCAGTTATCTTCTTCTCCGATCTAGTATTTATTTTCAATTTTTCGTTAGTTTCCTCTTTTTCTTTTACAGATTTTCCTCGCGTATTTGAGTTAATATTGTCATTTGATTTTTTAGTAGTTTGTGTCTTGTCAAGGTCCTTTTTTTGGTCATTTTTATTCACTGCCATATCTCTAGGGAGGATTTCCACAGAGCTTACCACAGTATTTTGGGTTATCTTGCTGCCCCTTTGTTGTCTTTTTTCCACAGCATTAGTTAATAATTTAGAGTCAGAAATGGGCTGTTCTAATTTTCTCAGCTTTGGCGGTGATACATGACGTGGGGTCTCGTCTTTCAGCGGCGTTGTACGTTTTTGACGATTCTCATTCGATACTCGCTGTTTCTTTTCCTCTTCCAGCGACATATGCAGTTCAACTTCCATGCCGCTGTCCGTGGCTCCTTTCGCCCCCTGATCCTGTTGCGTCCACTTAATGTTGTCTACACCGATCTCATATTGCACAAATTGTCGGGCCTGCGTTATCATCAGCCGAGCTGCTTCGCCTACGGTCATGCCAGCTTTGCCGGTTATAAAAAAGTTTCTTGCCGCATTTCGTTGGGCTGCCTCAAAGGCATCCTCATTTTCGAGCTGCTTCGCCGAATCGAAGCTTAACGAATTGAAGAGTACCTTTTCAACGTTCAATACATCGGCGTGGGCCAATTCCACGAGGCTGGTGATGCCTGCATCAAAAAGCGCCCGCGCTCGTTTATGGGATAGATCGGGAAGGCGCATTAAGTCGATTAAATCGCGATGAATGCCAAAGTACAGGCGCTCCTTGAATTGCGATACGACCAGAGAGAGTGTTGACCATTGAAGGGAATTACAGAAGGCAGTCACAATGCCCGCAAAGGTGGAAGCCATCTGTTGAAGGCTTTGTAGCATGCCACGCGCGCACTTAAATTTGTGTCCAACCACATTGATAGGCGTCTCGTTGACCAGCTCTTGAAGTGCCAAAGCTGTGTAGAAGCTTTAATGTAATATAAGTAATTAATATATCCAAGAAATATAATAATTTATCTAAAATTTAATTAGTTATTTAATTTTAATTGCTTACCGCTTGTGAATTTGCATGAGTTTGTAGTCCAGGTTTGCTCGATTCCGCATAGCGCGGACCAAGAATTGCTCCTTAATACCCACCAACTCGCCTACTTTTTTCATGGCCGGACTCAATTTCTCCCACATGTCCAAGTAGAGCAGCCAATCCAAGTCCTGCAGTTGATAGCAAACGGAATAGGGCGTAACGAGGTAAACTGCATGCAGTTCCGATTCCAAGACAAAGCAACGGCGTGCCTTTTGCAGCTCCGCAAAGAGTATGAGGCCATCGGTGGGCGGCATAGATGAAGCTAGGCAGGCACAACCCAATCGTGTGGCCACATAGCGCTGCGTTTCAGTTTCCTCATCGGTTTGCAAGCGCACAAATTCGTATTCCACTAGAAAATCAAGCGCATCGCTAATGTAGTCCGTTTCCTCTTCATCAGCGGACTCGGCCAATGCCTTTTGAGCGCTAAGCAAAGTGCAGTTGACAAAAGTATTGATATCCTGGATGCTGCTAGCTACACCAGATGAAATGACTTCCAACAGAGCGCGTTTTAAGTGTGTCTACAAGATAATATGTTTAACAAAAAAACAAAACCATTTAGTAGGTTACTTACGCTACTATCCAGCTCCAGGCAAGAGCTGATGGGTTTTAAGTCTGCTGTGATTAACTCTCGTCCAATGCGGGCATTGTTGTCCGTGCATATGAGTATGGACTCCCCTAACGTATCCTTGCCAGTACGACCAGCGCGACCAATCATTTGACGATAGGTAAGCGAGCTCATCTGCTTGCCGCCAAACAGAGGTGAACGGATAAGCACCCGACGCGCCGGTAAATTAACGCCTGTTATCATGGAAATATAAGGAATATAAATAAATTTTAAAAAAATCGACGTAAAATAAGACTCCGATACAAGATATATATATTTCCAAACTTTTCTTAATTAAATTGTAATCAATGTTTAATTTGTGTAAGACCATGGGTTCCATGGGTATTTTTTCCAGTTAAAGAAAATATCTTGTAGAGTCGATAGAAACATGAGACTTAAGAACATTTCAGTCAGAGTTTGGAGCTGTTGGTCAAAGCTCCGTTTAGAAGTACATATCCTGATTGAACTGTATGTTTTACATACAGTTATATACCATAGCCTGATATAAAAACACCCTCACTACTAACTAGACAGTCTTTTATGGTAACCAACAACAAAACTTGGAGAATAATCTTAAATTGTTTTATAGAAATTTTACTATGTGTTATTTTTATTACCAGAGCTCAATGTGCTTGTGGCCACAATGACCTTTAAAGCGCCTGACTTGAAACTGGCCTCCACAATGTCACGCTCCTCAGTGGTAAGGCCAGCATGATGGAAGGCGCAAGCGTAGGTTACAGCTTTACCCATGACCGCATCGAGACCTAAAATGGAAAATAATGAGTTCCGCAAGAGTGTTAAAAGCTTGTCGCTTCCTTACCTGTTGGTATATCCTTTAACTGCTGCTTCACATCCTGTATTGACTCGGTGTTGAGTTGTGCCCTCAGTTTCTGGCCAACTTCGCTACCCGATTTGATGAGAGCATGCATAGCAGTGGCCAGCTGTACAGCCAAATTCTCACACCAGTCCTTCGATGGACAGAACACAATAACGGAGCAGCCCTCTAGCAACGTTTCTATGCATAGCTGCGCTACATGGTCTGAATCATTGCCAAGTGGTGGTAAGCGAGAAGTCTCGGTTATATCCCGTAGAAATTGCAGCTGATTGTCATAGATCTTATTTCCCACTTTGATCATTTCCTGCAACGCAACGGGTCGGAAGTCGGTAATGTAGAGTTCAGCGTCCAGCCAGCGCTGCAGTAGCTTAACATTTGCCAGAGTGGCAGACATGGTTATGATTTGGATTTCCAGCGCATGCTTGCGGGACATGTACATAACTTTGGCAAGCAAAAGCTCCAGTATGTAGCCACGACCGGGATCTGATATAAGATGCACTTCATCCACGACCACAGTACCAATCTCATCGAGCTTTCCTTGCTCGAGTAATTTGTTAACTATCGAATTTGCCTTCTCGATAGTGCAGATGGCCACATGTATGCTTTCAAATCCCCCTGGTGGTGTGTAGCCGCCAAAGAAGCCCTCCACGCGATAACCAGCAGGCGTTAGAAGATCCTGCAGATAAAACATTTTCTCGCGCACCACTGATATGAAGGGTAATATGAGCAGCACCTTCTTTCCCCGCTCAAGTACCGTCTTGAGCAGCAAAATCTCACTGACTAGTGTTTTGCCAGCTGATGTAGGCGCCGAGTACACAAGATTGCAGTGCTCGAAGAGCACTTTGGGTTTACTTAAGCATTCTACCTGCCAGTCGAACATTTTGATCACGCCTTTCTTGTTGTACTCACTGAGCACGCTATGGGGTAGATTCCAAGCCGATATGTGTTTCAGAGCTTCCAGATCTTTGGGATCTAAAGTTGGTGTTGATGTTTCTGTGGTTGGTTGAGTCTCTTTAGTCGGTATGGGACAAGTGGGAGATATTTGCAACTGGTTTGGTGACATGCTGCTTAGGTTTTGCGTTTGCTTTGGTCTATCCTCTGTGACCAACGCCATCTCGCAGCGACTGCGTAACAGATCCTGCTGCAATTGTTGAGATGCACGGGTATCTCTTGCCGGGCATATAAAGCAGCTTTCATCAAGATCATTAAATTCTTCTGCTTTTATTGTTGACCGACTTATGATGGGACTTTTCCTGTTACTGGCATTAAAGTTGCTTTCCGTCGACTCTGCTTCCAGAACATCCTCGGTGCAGATTTGTGCCTCGAAAACTGAGAAGGCATTTTCCGCTGACGTGTCCTCAAGAGCTGCATCATCGAAATCGGTCATGATTTGTGATATGCGTACCATTGATTCCGACTTCTTACTAGCCTGCTTGGCTGACACTTCCAGGTAAGAGAATTCATCCTTAAAGAACTCGGAGTAATTTTCACTTGCATTTCCCGTTTTCGGCGGAGCCGCAGGCACTTCGAATTTAGAGTCTGACTTGCTGCGTCGAAAGTTTTTTCTTGTGGTCTGAGTGCGATTAACACGCTGGGACCTAAAGCTCTTGTTTGGTGGCGATTCTTGTATAATTTCTAAGCCGCTTCCGGTTATTGCTTGCTTATTGCTGATTTTCTGACTGGTTCTGTCACTGCTGGCGCGATTCAATTCATTTTCTAAATTCATAAATGTGGTGTCACCAAAGTCAAAAGACTGCGAAAACGCCATGGCTAGGCACAATAATTAAAATAAATTCTAAATAATTATTTAATTGTATATAAAAAACTAACTAAATGCAATTACTAATAAAAACGAAACTACGCGCTCTCGAGCGCTGCAGTAAGCAGCCAACTTGGTAGCATTGTCGTCTTAAATTATTCTTGCGATATGGGCAGCACTGCACACATCAGCTGTTAATCTTAGACCGCTTGCGATTGTTTACTGTTCATGTATTCGTTTATTAATGGAGGATTTTAAAGTGCCGGTCTTGCCTGCACCTCTGGCCAAGAGTGACGCAGCTGTAGCAGAAAGGCCAGAAAAGCTAAATACTGACGAAAAGTTTACACCAGCAGCAGCAACACCGAGTGCTGCTTGTCCATACAAAATTCCGAAATGGTCTGCACCGCCAGCCGCCCATCAAAGTTATAAGTTTGAGGTGCTGAAATCAGGACAAATCATTGAAGAGGTCAAGGATCTGCAGCAGCAAGCCACTTGGACATTTGGCCGTCTGCCCGACAACGACATAGAAATGGCGCATCCCACAATCTCACGATTTCACGCAGTACTGCAGTACAAACCACCACCATCGTCTCATGATGATACCGAGCAGGAGGAGAATGGAGACGAAGCGAGTCACAAATCAGAACAGCCCGAAGGTTGGTATGTCTACGATTTGGGCAGCACACATGGCACATTTCTGAACAAACAACGTTTGCCGCCGCGTGTTTTCATACGAATTCGTGTTGGTCACATGCTCAAGCTAGGCGCCAGTACACGTGCCTACATTCTCCAGGGTCCCAGCGAGGACGAAGAGCCAGAGTCAGAGCTAACAGTCACAGAGTTGCGGGAGCAACGTGAGCAACAGGCGGTAGCTGCCGCAGAGGAGAAGCAACGCAAAGCGCTGGAGGCAGAGGAGCGCGAGCGAAACGAAGGCGTCAGTTGGGGTATGGGTGAGGATGCCGACGAGGAAACAGATCTCACTCACAATCCTTATGCGAGCACCAATAACGAAGAGCTCTTCTTCGATGATCCCAAGCGGACTCTGCGCGGCTTTTTTGAACGAGAGGGTTTATATTTAGAATATAAATGCGATGAGTTGGCGCAAGGTTCGTTTGTCTGTCGCGTGGAGCTGCCGCTGGACGACTCGAATGGTCGGCCAATTGTTGTAGAAGTGACGCATAAAGGGCGGAAAAAAGATTGTGTGGTGCAGTGCGCCTTAGAGGCGTGTCGCACTCTAGATCGGCATGGCGTGCTGCGGCAGGCGAATCAGGAATCACAAAAACGCAAAATTGTCAAACCAGAGGACTCCGACGATGAAGATGAATTCTTGGATCGTACGGGCGATGTGGCTCGCAAAAAGCAACGAAAAGTTGATGCGGGAACAAGCGTGACCCTTACCTATGATGATTTGGTATGTCACATAATTTGTTTTATATTTCTTATACACTAAATTTAACATTCGTTTCTTTTTCTCTATTTTTTAGATAAAGAAAGAAGCTGAATTAAATATTGAACTGCGAGAAGTCGAGGTGGAAATTACTAACTATCAGGAAAATCAGAAGCGACTCAAAGCCTTGGCAGCCAAGCAACAAAATGCTAGCGATGATTTAGATAATTTTATGGATACGTTAAGCGAAGATGTGGAGAAATTAGATAAAACAGAAATCAAAAGATTACGTGTAAGTAACACAAGTTATGAGTTAATACCTAAAAAGCTTTTGTAATAGGTACTAATATCATTAAAGCAGTGTTTCTAATACTTAATTTAAATATTTAAATCGATTTTCTTATAGATTATATTATTATATAGATTGTTAATTATATTTCTAAACAAATCATGGAAGCGCTTTTTATAATATATTTTCTGTCTTCTTTTAGGTGACACAGCAGCGCATTAAAGCCGAACAGCTAAAGCTGCAGCGTCTTATCAAAATAGCCAAGCCCACGGCTATGCCCTTTCAAGTCACCGGCATGGAAACAGACAGCAAGGCACAGGGCAGTCTAGCTAATAAGAAACAACTGCCCATGATAGGCAAACGCAACCAGTTCAGCAAGTTTAAAGTTATCAAAGCGTTGCCGAGCACGCGCACTAAAGCTTCAACAAAAGCATTTGCCTCCGACGAGGAGGAAGTTGAGGAAGAGGAGGAGGATGAGGAGGACGAGAATGAGGATAAAAATGAGGATGAGACGGATGAAAATAAGAAAAAAGAGGAGGAAAAAGAGGAGGATGTGTCGGAAGTCGCTGCGAAACCCGTGGCGAAAAAGTCAAGTGAGCCAACGGCTTTGACAGAAACAGTAACAGCTAATGTTGATATAGTAACGGATGCGGTAGCCCCTGTCAATGTAGTGGCTTCACCTGACACTGAGCAGGAACCGATTTTGGATGATACACCATTGGATGCTCCTTCGGTGGATGCTGCCGCAGCCAACACCTGCGCGCAAAGTGAAGAGGTCGCACAGCAAAAGAAGCGACGCCAACGTGCACGTCAACGTATTAAACAGCGACCTGACGTGGATATGGAGCTGGGCGAACTGGCCGAGCATGAGGACGACGACAAATACGCCAAGTGGGTGCCACCGACCAATCAAAGCGGCGACGGCATCACACATTTAAACGAGAAATTCGGTTACTAAGTGCAGCAGCAAGCTTTTCAACACACACCCCAGCGCATGCCTTACCCCTGCGCATGGTGTTGATAAGCCGCCTGATAACTACCCCATGGAAAGAACAACCCCTGCGCACAGTTTCCAGGCGCACTTTAGGTTGGAACGTATTTAAAATTCCTGCACACATACAGAAAATGAATGCGACGCCGACGCCGATGCTGCCACTGGTGCTGGCGCAGACGATGTCGCTGTTAAGGCTCCAGCACTTGAACTTCCAAGTCAGTTATAATTTTGCCACTCTAAGCGTCAGCTCTGCGGAACGCTCGAGCGTGTGTCGTCTCGTTTTTAGTTTACCAATATATAGGCTAGTTATTAATGTCGTGTGCGTCGAAAAGCGTTTTATTTGTATGAAATAAACACAGTTCATTTCCAATATTAATTAAATTGAAAAAGAAAATCAATTAAATTGAATTTGTTTTGACCGACGACGCTATATGAGAGCCCACCTTGACGTTTAATTTTATGGAAAATCAAACACAATCAAAGCGAGCTGCGGCAAGGGAACGGCCACGGACACAGACACAGACACGGGCACCTGTGTGTTCGTCGACGTCGTCGTCTTTGTAGTCGTCGTCAATAGCGTACCCATAACCACGTACTGCGGCAGTAAATGCGCGACCACACTAAAGAAAAGTTAAGCAGAGCCTTGAGCGCGGCAACAAACAACATACATTAAATAAACCAAAGGCAATTCGCGAGGCAATTTTTAAATGATTAATTGCAAAATAATTGAACATTAAATAAATTATAAATAAAAGAGGGAAATAGAAGCAACATTTGAATGCGGCCGCCTCTTGTTTTCTCAATAGCCGGAGCACATGTGCGGGTTACACTTTAAAACGCGTAACAGTCCGTCTCAAAAGACATCCTTGCGTTGGGGCGACTGCTGTGCTGCACTTTTTGTGTGCTAAGCTCCCTCCCCCCGCCGCCGCCGCCCGCAACTTTCAAGTATTCCTACACGCATATACCTATATATGTAAATGCATAAGACTTTTTGATTCCTATATACAAAATAGCAAAAGAAAAATCGTTCGTTTCCTTGATTAAGCGTTTGGATTCGACTGCGTCTAGAGTTTGTTGTTATCACGAATTGTTATTAATTGTTGTTGTAATACCATCATCTGTCTGTGATGTGCTAGGAAAGAAACAAAACTAAAATAAAGCAAAGCGAAGTAGCGCACATTTGTCGAAAATGTTGCATAAGTTAGGGCGCATTTGATTGGGCGCGCATTTGCCATTAAATCCAAACGACGACGGGACGCGACGCGCCATTACGCTCAAAGTTGGCGCACAAGTTAACGTCTGCTTTGAACTTGGCGTTACATATCGAAATCGAAAGGTGAGTTAGACACAAATGCGCTCAGACATGCGCACTAGAAGCGCCGCTATCGAGGAGCGCAAATTTCCAAACACCATCGTCTTTTTTGGGCCCTGCTCTTGAAGCTTTGTTGTTAGTCTATGCAATTAAATTTGCCAATTTTTGTGAATGAAGCCGCTGTGGAGAGCAGCTGCTATTGTGTTGTCTGTATGTTATGGTTGCACGCACACACACACACACACACATACACACACATTAGCCCATGACGTAGTTCCCCTCAACGCTGATGCATAAATATTGTTCATGTCTAGAAACCCAAACGTCTTTATTAAACTTGTGCGTTTCGATCGATTTTGCAGACACGTTGTCATTATATAAGAACTCGTTGCTTGCTTTTAGCTCCCATTGCCAGTGGTCTGCAAATTATAAAGCCATAAATTACGTCCTATATAGTATTACGCATACAGCAGGGGAGGGATGGAGGCATTTAATTAGAATCGCAGCAGACATAATGGTGCCGCTGTTGAAAGCGCGCCTGGACAGCCCATACTTGCAATATTTTATGACCCCCGCTGATAGTCTGCTGCGGGGGTTTGTTGTTTTAATTTCGATGTTTTTTTAATGCAAGTTAATTGCGAGCTATTCAACAAGGGCACAGGAATATACAAGGCCAATTGTGCACTTTACAGCAGTTTATAGATGTGCCGGCTAGAACTAGTTCCGGAAGCCGACTTATCTGCTTCCTGTAAAGACCTTTTCAGATTTTTATATTTTTTTTTACAATTGGTGAGAAATAAGCCATTCATATTGACTATAAAGTTTTCTTAAACTTTATTTTATATAAATTTGTATATTTTCTAACATAATTGTTTTAGATACTAAGTTATTTCTTAATTTATTTGCATTACACTACACTAATCTTGCTTGCAAACAGACGTGTTTTTTATCGCTCCGATCAAATCTTTAATTTGTTAAGTTCTATGGGACATTTTACGCCCTTAGTGAAGTTACAGTGAAACTTGAAACTGTTCGTGTAAAATTTAATTAAAGGCATTAATAATAATAACAATAATAAGAATATTCGCACGAAAGCATTTTTCAAGCGCGCAAAATTTTACATACAAATAGAACAATACCAACACTGAAACACTGAGTCATACCCTCACAAATACTCTCGCATCAGCGTTCAACGAATCACTCAATAAAATACAAACCGAGAAATCGAATTTCGAACTACACTAAACAACATGGCACCGCAACCCAACAAACGTGCACGTGAAAACACCAGCACTGACCTTAAGGAGGGCCGCCAGTCGGAAGCTGTTTCATCGAAGATAATGGCAATGATGAATTTGCGTTTTGAAGAGCAGGCCAGCCTCTTCACCACTCATATGGGAGATACTGAGCAGCGCATCCTCAACGTGGTGCTGGAGCGGTTCGATCGCATGGCTGATGAACTGAAGCAGCTACATGAGCGTGTGAATAACATTGAACGCTAGGTTGAAGAGCTGTCCTTGTTGAGGGAGCGGGTGGGTGTGCTTGAGACGAAGCTCGCTGCGCAGCTCGATGCCGCCAATGCCGCTTGCGACTTGCGTGTACAGGTGGGTGACCTGAAATCCAGATTAGAATATCAGCTTTCTAAGCAGGAAAACGCAGATATAGCAAATAACTTGCGTTTCCACGGTGTCCCGTATGTAGAAAATGAAAATCTTAAGGCGATTTTCAACTCTCTCTGCTTCGCCTTAGGAGTAACTCCGGCACCCAAGTTGAAAGAAATCTATCGGGTCAAGCAAAGCAGGACCAATAATTCCATTGTTGATCCGGTGATAATAATTAGACTCGAACATATGCGCGATAAAACTTCACTTTTGCGGGCAATTGGCACATACCGGCGAGAAACTCAACAACAACTAAACTTGCTGCTCCTAGGTTTTGACTCGCCAACCCCAATTTACATAAATGAGCAACTAAGCAAACGAAATTATGATATTTTTAAAGAGGCAATGAAAATGAAGAGACAGAAGTTGCTCTTATCAGTATTTACTCGCCGCGCATTAGTGCATGTTAAAACACCTACTTGCGATACAGTTGTTCGTGTTGATGGCATGCAAACGCTCTTGGCACTGCAGAATAACTGCATAAAAGCTTTAACCCCCCTTGCCGTGCCATCGGCTGAGACGGACGGCGTTGGAGCTTTAGGGGAACACCTTAGCAATAGTAACTTTCGCACTTAAGAAACTTCTGTTATGCTTTAATTTTAACATTGTTATTTGTAGTAGTAACTGTCATGCTTGTTTTAAATTAATCTATTCTTTCTATTTATATTTTACATCGTATACTTCGAGTGCGTTTCTGAAACGACTTCAAATACTTAAATATGCAAATTAGTAATAGTAGTTTAGATGCGAGCAGCCATACAATGCTAAAAGTTCTTTGCAACCGAAAGCCAGGCTTACATATTTGTCATATCAATGCGCAAAGCCTAACGAACAAGATAGAAGAATTTAGGAATATGTTTGTAAATTCCAAGGTTGATGTTATATGTGTGTCTGAAACTTGGTTTATGTCTGACATGTGTAGTTCGTTGATTAATTGTGATGGATTTAATGTTTTCCGATCTGATCGTGCAGGCCATGCGGGCGGAGTTGCAATATATGTAAGTAAGAAAATCAAAGCCAGAATTATATGCAAACAACCTGAGGGGTGTGCAATTGAATACCTTTTTATCTCACTATATCACCTAAAAAACTGCCGAAACATCTTAATTGGCTGCATTTATCGACCTCACCGCAACACAAACTACACTGATCTGATCAGTATATTTTCTGACATCTCAATGAACTATGAAGACGTAATTCTAACGGGTGATTTCAATTCCAATGCTCTGTGTGACGCTCGTCTAGTTGATGATATAGAGGCATTAGGCATGAAAATTGTTAATGCAACACAACCAACACATTTCTCACAAACCTCTAACACATTACTTGACCTTTTTTTTATTAATAATTTAAAGAAAATCTTACTATACGACCAACTTTCTGTACCTGTGTTCTCTAAACATGACCTTATCTTCTTGACACTTGACACTTTTATTGATAAAACTGACCATAAAATAGATTATAGAGATTTTAAGAATATTGACATTGCACAGCTAAATGACGAATTTTCTTTACTTGATTGGGACGATATTTACCGGTTACCCACGGTCGATTCTCAACTGCAACAATTCGAACACAAAATAAGCTACCTCTACCACAAATTCGTACCACTACGAACGAAAATCGTTAGACCCACACAAGAACCTTGGTTTAATGACACAATTAGACTTGCCATTAAAAAACGTAATGATGCATATGAAAAGTGGAAAAGATATAAATCTGAATATCACTATTCTAAGTTCAAATACCTCAGAAAGCAAGCATCTTGCTTGATAAATGCTGCCAAACGAGCTTATCATACTTCACAATTTAGCAATGCGATTTCAAGCAATCAGACGTGGAATAAGCTTCGTAGAATGGGTATTGGTAAAACGAAATCATTTCTTCCCTCCGATGTTGACGTGAATGAATTAAATAATAAATTTGTACAAATTGAAGTACCTGTCATTACGCATAATACATATGTAAACGCTGTACCTAATGTAACCTGTGATAGTAGTTTTAGCTTTCGTTGTGTCAGTCAATGTGATGTCCTAGAATCAGTTCTTAAAGTTAAGTCAAACGCGGTCGGATTTGATGACCTACACCCAAAATTCATCAAAATGATTTTACCTAAAGTTTTAGCACATATTACACACATTTTTAACACATCAATTATGACTTCCTGCTTTCCTGATAAGTGGAAAATGTCAAAAATCTGTCCTATTTCTAAGACTAACAATGAATACCGTCCTATTGCTATTCTTCCTTATCTCTCAAAAGTTTTCGAGAATCTAATAGCAAACCAGATTAGTGACTTTCTAAACAAAAACCTTCTCTTATGCGATGACCAATCTGGTTTCAGAAAGCACAGAAGTTGTACCACAGCTGTCCTAAATGTGGTTGAGGATATTCGCAGTCAAATGGATACTGGCTGTGTTACTTTTTTAAGCTTACTCGACTTCAGTAAGGCATTTGATTGTGTTAATCATGAAATAATGTGCACTAAACTTAATAGAATGTATTACTTCTCAAAAACGGCAACAACTTTTATACATTCTTATTTGTCCAATAGGCGTCAAGCTGTTGTAATATCGTCTGATCATTCTTCGTTGTTACCTGTTAGTCGCGGTGTTCCACAGGGATCTGTTCTTGGTCCACTATTGTTCACCTTGTACGTGAATGACCTCCCTTATGTCTTGTCTAACAGTAAAGTCCACCTGTATGCTGATGATGTTCAAATGTATGTTAGTCGTCCTGTTACTAAATTAAATGAGTGTATAAGTGTTAGTAATGGTGAACTAGGTAAAATCTCTGACTGGGCTAAAAACAATGGGTTAAAACTCAATCCCACTAAATCTAAATGCCTAGTAATCTATAAAAACCAACTAAACACTTCAAACTTCAACTCCCTTGTGATTGGAGACACTCCGATTGAATATGTCGATCAAGCTAATAACTTAGGCTTCTGCTTCAACAGGAGCTTGACATGGAACAATCATATAAATAAGGCTGTTGGTAAGGTTTATGGTGCGTTAAGACTTCTGAACTTGACTCAGCAATTCCTACCTGTAAATCTGCGAATGATGATAGCGAAAACATTCATACTTCCAATGCTATCTTATGGTGTTGAGGTATATGCAAATTGTGACGCAATTTCATTCCGAAAACTAAAAGTCGCTTACAATAGTGTCGCTCGTTATGTTTTCGGTCTAAGACGCTCTGATCATGTCACCAGCTATGCATACCAACTTTTGAACTTAAGTATCATGTCTTGGATAAACTTTCGAGTTTTATTATGTCTACAAAAATTGATAAATACTAAGGAACCAGCATACCTGTATCAAAGAATTAAATTTTCCACATCTCTAAGAACTCATAACTTAGTATGTCAGCGCCACAGGCTTCTTTTATCCGACAGACAATTTTTCATATATGCTGTTCGCATTTGGAATGGACTACCAACACACATAAAAAACATCAGAAACGCTACTCAATTTCGAAGTAATCTAAAAAAATATCTTCAAAATTAGCATTAATAAACTGTCACGATAACAAGCATGACATATACAATCATTTTACAATGTAATTTAGTTTTAAGAAAAATATAAATTTTATTAAACTTATTTTAATTCTCTGTCTCAAATTTTATTATAATCTTATTATAAACTAACTAGTTTAGTACATATGTAAAACTCTTTATGTGACTAGTGCTATAACATATAAGTAACTCTACTTGTTGCGCTAGGAAGTAATTAACAATAAATAACAATAACATCATAAAAAAAAAAAAAATTCTTATACAAAATCCTAGCTAAATAGAATTCGTTGGAATTAAGTATTTAAAAGAAAAATAAATTAAGAAACTTGTTGTAGCTTATTTTCTTCATTTTCGGTGAGCTAAAATATTTGTCAAATTGCATTAATCTTGAAATCAACTTTCTGCATAATTTGAGAATAAATAAGAATTCGTTAATTTGCAATGAAGTTAAAAAGTAATCTGTATATAAATCTTTTCATCCCTCGTGTAACACATTATATTACACCACTTGCCAGTTAGCTTCATTTGAGGGGTTCATATCACAAAAATAGCAATGTAGTAAATGAAAATTATTTATGTTTTTTTTTTATGTTTTTTAAGAAAGAAGTCTGCGTATTATATTTGGTTAAGATGGGTTGGCGAAGATGCTGAAGCGATGAACTTCTGAGTTGAAAATGCATAATATTTTGAATTGTTTTAAATGAAGTAAAACTCTACATATTTTTAATATATAGTATAATAGTATTTTTAATAATTTAACACCGAATAACGTAGTTGCACTATAAAAACTAGATCGCCGTACTGAGCTGCGCCGTGCAAATTGAATGCGCACTTGAGGCTCTCGACCACCCACCGGAGTGTTATCCTTGCGCACTATCCTTGCGCAAAGGTCAGTTGGCAGCGATGTAATTGCTTAATATTTCATGCTGCGTGTCAAAGCCAGGCACTTAATTGAAAAACAAGCACAAAATACTTAGAATGTCAAAAGCCAGTGGCATTGCAATAAGAGGCAACTCCTAAAAGCATGCTATATATTTTATATTTTTCAATTATGCTACCTTTTAACATTTTATTGCATTTGCACTTTAAATTTCAGCCTAAGTTGCGCCATTGAGGGTCGAAGCAAAAACATAGGCATATCAAGCCGCAGTAACTGAGCCTACTAAGGTAGTATTAAGCTGAAAACTGTATACTAGCGACGCAACTTCATAATCAAGGGCAGCTCAGCTAGCAAGGCTAAGGTCACACAAACATTCGCGCGCACATACGAGTATACACACATCTTCAAAATGATTAACATCGCTGGCGTTGTGAGCATTGTGCTCTTCTACGTGCTCATTCTGGTTGTTGGCATCTGGGCAGGTCGGAAAAAGCAAGCGGGCAATGATTCCGAGGAAGAGGTCATGTTGGCGGGGCGTTCGATTGGTCTATTCGTGGGCATATTCACCATGACGGGTAATTGCAGTTCCCGTGCATAGTACATATCATAAAACTTGTCTAATTTGTTGCTTTTATCCGTTCCCCAAAATAGCTACGTGGGTGGGTGGCGGCTACATTAACGGTACTGCTGAAGCCATTTACACATCGGGTCTGGTTTGGTGTCAGGCGCCCTTTGGCTACGCCTTGAGTTTGGTTTTCGGTAAGTACTTTATTTGTTCGCATTCCACAGTGATTTAATATTGATAGCTACATATGCTCTTTTTACTTAATTAGATTTATAAGAAACAAATTGCTGACCTTTTAATTTAAGCTGAAATCAGCTCCAATATAAACATTAATAAAATTTATTTTCAATTTCAATTTTTATGAATTACCGTACCCCTACTAGGAATTGGGAGAACTTGTTAGACAAGTTGTATATAAGTTTTTTATTTAACGACTCTGCTTTCAAATTGGCAAAGGAACCTATTAGCTGGTAAAAGATATATATAAGTAGTTTAAGGGACTCTCTTGTTGTTTTTAGTCGTAAGACATTTTAATTTAATTTTTAATTTTCAGGTGTAGGGTGGCTAATATATAGTACCTATGAATATATTAAGCTATAACAGAATGAAATCAGTTAAGTTTTGTCGTAACTGTTATATGTAAATATCTCTAAAGTAGTTTAAATAGTTGGGTACTTACAAGTATAAAGACGACTTTCCAAAAATGATAGCGAAAAGTGGTACCTTTAAAATGATGTCAGGTTCTTTAGGATCAGTTTTAAAAGTTGTAATGAAATTAAATGTAAATGCCTTCTTTCTAGGTGGCATATTCTTTGCCAATCCTATGCGCAAGCAAGGCTATATCACCATGTTGGATCCGCTGCAGGACTCATTTGGGGAACGTATGGGAGGACTGCTCTTTTTGCCTGCACTCTGCGGGGAGGTGTTCTGGGCGGCCGGCATTCTGGCTGCATTGGGTGCCACATTGTCGGTCATTATAGACATGGACCATCGCACCTCCGTCATTCTATCGTCGTGCATTGCCATTTTCTACACACTATTTGGGGGTCTGTACGCGGTGGCCTATACAGATGTGATACAGCTCTTCTGCATTTTCATTGGACTGTGGATGTGTATACCATTTGCTTGGAGTAACGATCACGTGCGAAGTCTAAGTGATATGGATGTGGACTGGATTGGGCATGTGGAGCCGAAGCAACGATGGTTTTATATAGACTATGGTCTGCTGCTGGTCTTTGGCGGCATTCCCTGGCAGGTTTACTTCCAGCGAGTGCTCTCCAGTAAGACAGCGGGTCGGGCACAGCTGCTGTCCTATGTGGCAGCAGCAGGCTGCATTCTGATGGCCATACCACCGGTACTCATTGGTGCCATTGCCAAGGCTACACGTGAGTAACAGTGGAACTTTGGTACAATTGATGTTTGACTCTTAACTACTGTCACTTCTTCTCGACAGCTTGGAATGAGACGGACTACAAGGGACCCTACCCGCTCACTGTGGATGAGACCAGCATGATTCTGCCAATGGTTTTGCAATATCTGACGCCCGATTTCGTCTCTTTCTTTGGACTGGGCGCCGTCTCTGCTGCCGTCATGTCCTCCGCCGACTCTTCGGTGCTGTCGGCTGCCTCGATGTTTGCACGCAATGTGTACAAATTGATTTTCCGTCAGAAGGCTTCCGAAATGGAAATCATTTGGGTAATGCGCGTTGCCATAATTGTCGTTGGCATACTGGCCACCATTATGGCTCTGACCATACCCTCCATCTATGGACTGTGGTGCGTATTAATGCATAATTACTTTTGATTGACGGTTGGTCTAAGTGCAAATGGTGTTTTCAGGTCCATGTGCTCGGATTTGGTCTACGTCATTTTGTTTCCACAATTGCTGATGGTTGTACACTTCAAGAAGCACTGCAATACCTATGGCAGTTTGGCTGCCTATATTATTGCTCTGGTTATACGTTTGTCCGGTGGAGAGGCCCTTCTTGGCCTACCCGCCCTCATCCACTATCCGGGGTATGATGTGGAGACGCAGACACAATTGTTCCCCTTCCGCACCATGGCCATGATAATAAGCTTAGTCACATTGGTTTTCGTCTCCTGGTGGTCCAAGTGAGTATAGCTCTAAAGAATATTAACGAAAAGATAATTTAACTTCTCATCTGCCACAGAATGATGTTCGAGTCCGGCAAACTGCCGCCCAGTTATGATTATTTCCGTTGTGTTGTCAACATACCTGAGGATGTACAAAGAGTGGGTGAGCCCTCCGAATCTGGTGAGCAATTGTCGGTTATGGCTGGTCCGCTGGCTCGCTCCTATGGCGCCGCCACCATGGCAGGCAAAGACGAGCGCAATGGGCGCATTAATCCGGCGCTGGAGTCAGACGATGACTTGCCCGTGGCGGAAGCCCGACGCATGAATGAGCAGACGGCGCAGGCGCAGGTGCAGAAAATGCTGAGCAGTGCCACGGGAAAAGCGGGCGGTGGGGGTGGACAGATGGGTCAAGGTAGCATGGCCACAATGCCAGCAGCAGTGCAGGACAACACCGCCTTCTAAGCGCTGCATTGGGAATGAAAGTTTGTCGACCTCTCTCTAAGTTGTAAGTTCTTCATTTGAGTTGCGCTCTTCAGGCATGATGAACTAAAAATATTGATCTTAAACAACGTCTGTTGAAAACACATAAGTGCTCAGGTAAACAGTGCAGAAAGTTAAAAGTGAGTGTCTAATTAAATTTATTTAGCCAATATCTTGTTTAAAGTTATCTATAAGCTTCAAGCAATTTTCCTAATCAACAGCTAATTTAAATATATTGTGTTTGCGGTCTTAGATGAAATTGAGTTCGCTTGAGTAGAAGTGCGTTAATTTTGACTAGATGGTATAATTAATTGCGCAAATCGAGTATACTGAAAGGTTTCTTTTTTACTTGGCTTAAATGTAAGAAAATTTGAAACATAAACTATACATATATAAAACAAAAAAGTATTACCATATATCGTACATGCATGAGGCATTAATTTAGATGTTTTTAAAATGATTATTTTTGCCTTTAAAGTTCGTATGAAAAAATGTTTGGGCATATCCCTTTTGGTCTTCTTCACAATTCATTTTTTTCCATATCCTACCTAACAAAATTGGTGAAAAAAATGCTTTGATATGCCCTGTTTATTGTGTTATGATTTAATTAAACGTTTTGTAATTAATTCCCTCAACTATCGATTACTTTGTTTGTAATACTAATAGAATTTATTATTAATTGATACGCATAATGAAAACTTCTGAGATAGTTTGTGCAGCTATTTATGCCATCTAGTGAATGCAATTGAAAATATTAATGTGTTATTGTATAAATGTTATATAGAACAAAAAAAAAACCGAATACGAAACTACAAAATCGACATACATATCAATGTTATACAAAAGTTAAACTGAAAGCAACTGAAAACATATCAAATGCATTTGCAATACGACTACGAGTATCACAATGATTATTAATGCATTCAAATACGAATACGTATCTAACTATAAAGTCTACAATGAACAAACGAAATCGTAGAAAAGTTACGCGCACAGCTGCCGCATGTAAAATAATGAAAGAAAAACAAGGAAAACCTATATACTAACTTATAGCGAAAAGTGTGGCCCACTGACCACCGTGCAGCGTTTATTTGTTGCCAAGAAATTGTGTAAATTGAATTGTCAACAAAAGTGCTTAGGTGAGTGTGATTGCAGATAATTTGCGGCGCACGATTGGGTCATACATATACTTGTAGTATAAGTATGTATGTATACAAAACGCATGATCATACTTATTTACTACAACAATAGAGACATTCATATACATACTATAATGTGAATCATGTGTCCTTCCATACAAACTATCGCTATTGTAGACAACAAACAGCATATCAAAACTACCTTAAAAATATAAATTAACAAAGCATTCTAATGGCAAAGCATTGATGAATACATATCATTTTATTGTTGTTTGTAAGTTATGCCATACAAGAGTTTATATACATACATATCTATTCATACAAAAAAAAAAAAAAAAAAAAAAAAAAACAATACGATAATATCTACATACATGTACATTTTGCGAGAAAAAATGAACCTAGTCGTGTAAGTTTCAAAAGCATATCAAGCGTTATATAGACAAAAAGATTAGCTGCTCTCAAAGAGCAAAAACAAACAAACAAACACAGGAGTATGTAAGTATATAAAACAATATATATATAATGCATATAAATGTTGCGTCGTAGTACCTAAAGCGTATATATAAATACTATATACACAGTTATACATATGTACACAAATAAATAAAAATAGCAAAAGGGCAACCTAAACTGGCCACACTGAATTTAGAGAGTTATACCAAAGCAGATCTCATATCCAAAATGCTGAAGATCTGACCAGCAATATACAAATATTGGCGATATTCTACACCCGCGCTGCCTAATCCAAACAAACAAATAATAAAAACGATTTTTCGAATTGAAATTTTAACTCAATTATACACATTATTATTAAAAGAATTCCAATTGATCATTCCCTGGGAAATGTTCGTTCTGATTTTAGTTTACTTCTTAAAATAATACATTGGCTCGATTGTTAAAGTTTTGTCCCGTTCAATGCATAACTAATTAAATAACTAACTAACTAAACTGTTAAATACAACCAACTAACGTAAATGATATACACGAGGAATTAATATAACTACATGTTTAAATGTGTAATAAATGTTGACTGCTTTTTGATTAGGCCTCATATGTTTCTTGTATTGGGGTTAACATTTTTTTAACATTAACATATAGAGTCCAAATGCATACATATACTATATATGTTCTTGATGTTTGTCGTTAATTATTTAAATAAATGTGTGTGTGTTTTCCGCTAAGGATTTCAATTACATTCCCCATTTCTTATTTGTAAGAAATTATTTCGACTTCTCTTTGAAATTGTTATTGTTTGTATGTAAGCAATAATCCTTATTACATTTAAATCAACAAAACCACCAAATACGAGTATGTTATCTAATGAAAAGAAAAAACTACTAATTAATTGTTTAAGCGTGTTGAGTTACTTGAATTAACATTTTGTTGTTCATCGCAATTCTGCAATTCGTTTATTGTTACCTACTCTTTGTCACACTTGGCATATAAATTGACGCGTTTTGAATGTTTTTAGGTAATTTTTAGTGGAATTACTTTAACCAAAATCTAAACAAAAACGGAAACCTAAAGAAACGATATACAATATATATATATATATTCTATGCAGAAAAAACAAAATTAAACAAACCAAAAGTACATATCAATGTTTAAAGCATAGCAAAACGAGAACAAAAACGTATTTAATAAATAAAAAATATATATTAAAATGGTTTCTTTGTTGATGCAAATGGCCTGTGGTTATTTATTTGTCCAAAAGACTGGAATGCTGTTCAAAGCACAGCTCTAGAGGAGCACCACTCTTTTCAGAAAAGAAAGTTCTGACCCAAGAACCTAGACAACATGAAGCAAACCATCCAGAGAGTGCCCTTGAATTGGCTGTAAGCACTTTTTGGTTGAAGTTAAAAGTTTTAATTAATTATTTATTTTTAATGAAGCTTTTAAAAATTGATTATAATTTATTAATCGATTCTAGTAGAAATCCACAGTTAAGAATAAAATTCTAATTGGGTTCTGTTGATATGCAGCTTGCTTGTCAAATGTCAAAGTATAATATCCTATAAGAATATACAATAATAATATCCTATAATTCTATGTTGGACACCATTGTCTTGCATTTTGAATAATGTGAAGGCCTAAGCAATGTCGTTCTACTTCGTGACTTGGTCGTGTCTAGCTCCGACTGTAGCTTTGATACCTCTAATTATCATCTGTTTAGTTTCGAGACTACAATATTTAAGTTGTATTCCTTGTTAGATTAGCAACGAGACTGATACAGTGCATAACTGTCAAAACAGAAGACTGCTGGTGTGGATATCAATTTCCTTTGGTTTATTTTGTTATGCTGACCACAAAATGCTGACTACCCTTTAACAAGTAACGCATTAATGTGGCTTGGCATTGGTAAACAGAGAGCTGTTTAGTTTGGACTGCATCTTATAAATGGAGTGGGCTGAGAGTCTTATTGCCCAAGTTGTATCGCTGCAGTATAGTAATTGCAACAGTTTTTTGGTTTCGACAGACTTGTTGTTGCTTATGTTTTTTTCCTATACTCGTATATTTATTTGGCTAATATATTTCTGCTTGCTTTACAACTAAAGATGTAAAAATATAAAAAATAAATTAGCTTGTGTAATATAGACAAACATTACACGTACTGGGCGCTAAAGCTGAAGCTGAAGCCGAAGCAGCAAGCAAACAAAGCATCGTAATGACAGTTTAAAACAATAGAATTGTATTATCGCAAGCGGAAATTTCTCATAATAAAAATTCAGGTTATGTGCCGAGGAAGCCGCAGCGGGAGCACCAGCAGACGAAGCTAAAGAGCAACTGATGCCGCACAATGACTTGGCCCGGCCATATTCACACACAAGCCCAAGACGATCCGCAGCCTTGTGGGCACTTACCGAGCACTTACAATTATGTGAAGTATTGTGACAGTTACTTTATATTACTTAGAAGTAAATTAGATTGTTAAATTGCAGAAGTTGTTGTCATTGCAGTGGCATCTACAACAACAACAACACCAACATCAGCCGAACTGCTGTCGCTTTTAATTAGATGTAATTAAGCTCTAAATTTAATTAGATACAAATTGTAAAATGTAGCTGCAAGATACTCGCACTTAGACAAGTGCAAGCGTCCATCATAAGCTCATAACTTCGGTCGCAAAAGAATTGCCCTCTAATTGTGTTGTTGCTGCTATTGTCCATATCTGTTGTTGTTGGTATTGTTGTTATTGTTGCCGTTGTTTCTGTTGTCTGTTGTGGCAGCTGTATATCCGGTATTTTCAAAAAATTAGCATAGCATGGCAAAAATTGCCAATGCTGGTTGCATTCTGAACCTTCAACTGTCATTTGGTATGGCCACAAATGTTGGCCGCTTGTTTTCCATTCCAATTAGAAGTACGCGTACAAGTACACAGCACTCGTACATACAAGTATGTATGTATGTATAGGTATACGAGAATGAATGTCACGGATGTGAAGGGGCCGGCCGACTACTTACTAGGGAATGCAAAAGCAATCGAACTCATTTTCTTTATCATTTATTACACAAAACATTTTAAGACTAATCAAATTACAGCTAAATGGATATACATACATACAAGTACATAGAGTAAAGGAAGCGATAAGGATGCACAAAGTTGTTCAAGATTAGAATAATTTATCTGCTGAAAATACATACAGTTAAGGCATTAAAACAAAATGGCGGCGCATAGTTTGTGATAGCAATGACATGAAAAGGGCACCGAATACCGTGCACCTCTTAAGAGTATTCTAAGGCACTTGGCTGCACCGCGATCGTTTATTTCTTCTTGTAGCTGTAGCCGCCATCAGCGCTATAGCCTTGCTGTATGGTGTCGGGCACTTGGTTGGGGGCGGGATAATTGTAGCCAGAGTCTTCAGCAGGTGCTCCATAGGAGGAAGATGGAGCACTGGGGTAACCACCTGCGCTGGTGGCATCATTCGAAGGTGATGCACTATAGCTGGACGAATAACCAGTAGGGAAACCTCCACTGGAGGAACCAAAGTCCGAAGAAGGAGCGCCGTAAGAGCTTGATGGTGGGGCTGGTGCTGGTGCATTATAGGATGAAGAAGGACCTGAGGAATAGCCCGCGCTGCTGGAAGAAGATGACGATGGCGCAAACGAACTGCTGGAGCTGTACGAAGATTCTGGGCCGGAGGAAAAGCTGTCATAGCTGCCACCAGAGGAACCTAGATCGGGAGCTCCGTACGATGACGATGGTGCCGGAGCGGAATGGGGCGCAGACGGTGCAGACGAGTAGGGACCACTGTTAAATGTTGGAGCAGAATACGAGCTGGATGGCGCTGAAGGGTATGGTCCACCGCTGTTTGAATTAGGGCTGGGAGCTCCATAAGAACTGGACGGTGCTGAAGGATAAGGACCACCGCTGCTTGAGCTTGAACTAGGAGCTGAGTATGAACTGGATGGCGCTGAAGGATAAGGACCACCGCTGCTTGAGCTTGAACTAGGAGCTGAGTATGAGCTGGATGGCGCTGAAGGATAAGGACCACCGCTGCTTGAACTTGAACTTGGAGCTGAGTATGAGCTGGATGGCGCTGAAGGATATGGTCCGTCGTCGCTTGGGCTTGGAGCGCCGTAAGAGCTAGAGGGTGCTGAAGGATAAGGACCACCACTGCTGGCATCGGAGCTGGGTGCTGAATATGAACTCGAAGGCGCCGACGCATATGGTCCGCCCTTGCTTGCGCTTGGGCTAGGCGCACTATAAGAGCTAGATGGAGCTGAAGCGTAAGAACCACCGCTGCTTGAACTGGAGCTAGGCGCTGAGTAAGAGCTGGAAGGCGCCGAGTATGAACTGGATGGTGCTGATGCATAGGGTCCGCCACTGTTGGAGTTAGGCGCAGAATATGAGGACGAAGGTGCACCATATGACGACGAAGGTTGTGGTGCACTGGGTGCGCCGTAACTGGAGGATGGCTCGAATGATGAAGAGAAACCACCACCAGAGCTAGAAGATGATGCTGGAGCACCATAAGATGGTGATGGCGGTGAATCAAACGAGGCGGCTGGTCCAGAAGTGTAACCGCTGCTGCCTAGAGTTTGCGTTTTTGAAGGTGCTCCGTAGTTTGTTGATGGGGCTGAAGGTAATGGCACAAAGCTGTTAGCGCTAGGTGTCCCGTATGATGAAGATGGCTTGGAGGGGCGGCTAGAGCTTTTGGGAGGCAGGTAGGAGTTAGATGGTGCCTGAGCCGGTGCGCCGTAGCTGGATGAAGGAGGTGCAGGTGCCCCATAACTTTGAGAAGGAGGTGCGGACTTTGGAGGCCCGTAGCTGGATGAGGGTGGTGCAGGGGCTCCATAGCTCTGAGATGGTGGGGCAGACTTTGGGGGACCATAGCTGGATTTTGGTGGTGCGGGAGCTCCATAGCTCTGAGATGGTGGGGCAGATTTTGGTGCACCATAGCTCGATGAAGGTGGTGCGGGTGCTCCGTAGCTCTGAGACGGTGGTGCCGATTTCGGAGGTCCATAGTTGGATGATGGCGGAGCAGGCGCTCCATAACTCTGCGACGGTGGCGCTGATTTTGGTGGCCCATAGTTGGAAGATGGTGGTGCGGGGGCTCCATAGCTAAAAGAAGTTGGAGATGACTTCGGGGGACCGTAATTGGAAGATGGCGGTGCGGGAGCTCCATAGCTTGAAGAAGGTGGCGATGACTTCGGGGGACCATAGTTTGAAGATGGCGGTGCTGGAGCTCCATAGCTTGAAGAAGGTGGCGATGACTTCGGCGGACCGTAGTTGGAAGATGGTGGTGCAGGAGCTCCATAGCTTGAAGAAGGTGGCGATGACTTCGGCGGACCGTAGTTGGAAGATGGTGGTGCGGGAGCTCCATAGCTAGACGAAGGTGGCGATGACTTCGGAGGACCATAGTTGGAAGATGGTGGTGCGGGAGCTCCATAGCTGGACGAAGGTGAAGACTTGGGGGGTCCATATTTAGAGGAGGGTGGCGCAGGAGCTCCATAGCTCTGAGAAGGTGGCGATGATTTTGGCGGACCATAGCTCGACGACGGCGACTTAGGTGGAGGACCGTATTTCGTTGAAACCGATTTTGGAGGGCCATAGCTAGATGAGGGCCGACGTGGAGGCTGCTTTCTTTGTGGTGGCGGTCCATAAGAATTCGATGGTCTTGCAGCCGGTGCGGCATAGGGTCCACCTGAAGGAGCACTAGGCGCAGCATAGCTTGAGCCGGGATGCGAGTTAAACGATGGCGCTGGTCCAGAAGCGGGTGGCAGATAAGAGTTTGGCGGTGGTGCTCCGTACTTTGAGGCTGGTGCTCGAGGCCCAGACGGTGGCGGTAAATAGCTGTTGCTCAGGGGGGCCTCACGCTTCACGGCAGCGGCATCGTGCGCCAAAACGACGACGACGGCGATAACACCAAAAAGCTGCAAGCGTATGAATAAAAACGAGGAAATTACGTGAAGTTTTCTGTGCCGGTCAATGGCACGCGCCACTCCACTTACCACTCGTATACTGCCTGCGGACGAAATCATCTTGAATGGCCTGGCTGTGTGGCTGTGTGGCTGGCTGGCTGTCTCGCTGCCTGACGCACGCTTGATTTCAAATGCAAATTAGCCTGCAACACTGCAAAATGGGTGAAGAAAAGTTTGTCGAAATGAGAGCACAAAGTAATGCGAACTGCAGAGGCAGCCGAAGCTAAAGCCGTTGAAGAAAATGAATTTCTGTGTCGACTAAATAAGTTACGCTTAAGTTACGTAATTCTTTTTTTCCTTCATATTTGGTACGCATTTTATCTTTCTTCACATTGGCTCGTGCCTGTGGCTATGACTATGACCGAGAAATGCGCAATGGCTACCGTTAGGTGTCTGGCCGACGGGCTCGGACCGCTGTTGCAACCTTCAGTCAGTCGGTCGCTCGCAGACTCACTGTGCCACCAAACGCTCATCAATCTTGCCAGCCCAGGTCTTAGCCCCATTCATTTACAGTTGTGCGCTGCCAATGCCAAGAACTGACCAACCGACCTACCGTGACGATTGGCCCCATGCATGAACTTCAAATCAACGTCAATTTTGCAGCTTCTATTCCAAATTTGACTGCCGCTGTTGAAATACATACTTGTATATAATTGGCAGAGCCAAAGGAAAGCGTATCGCGAAAAGTGTAAAGTTTCAAGAAGAATGATGAAGACACGCGCTGACGACTGTCAGTCAGTCAGCGAAGCATTCGTTTCACTTATCGAGCAAGTTGCTCATGCTCATGCATAAAATACAAAAGCTAAGCACCCATCCAAAAACAGCCTTTTGCAAATTCTTCAAGCAAATAAAGTGAAACTTTTTGCCACAATTGAATAAAAAGCAAACACCACACAAGCCGAACAAATCCTATGCTCGATGGAAGCCGCCAGTTAAGGGTCTCATGGTGTGGGCGTGCAGCCACAGCTATAGATTTTTATGACATTGCAAAATTCGCAGTCGAGCCCATTACCCTGCGGCAGTAAGTGCGGGGACAGGACAGTGAAAAATTGCCAACTGTCTAGGCAAAAGAGTGCCGCAAATATCTTTAGCCTTTTTATTCCCTTGCACAGTGGGTATATTATCAATATGGCTGCTCTAAAATTGGCAAATGGACAAGCTGGCCGGAAGTAAATAGTCTGTGTACCACTAGAAGATGTTATACACGAACCAAATATAAATTCATGATGACCGAACTACCTGTAAACATTCATTTCATTTCCCTAATATAGTATATCTAGTAAATAATATTCTAATTATTTTAGTTCAGTATCAGATCTCTTAAGCCTTAAATATTGCTGTTATAATAATAGTATTGTATACTAACTGTGAGCTTCTATTAATTTATAGAAATCGAGTGAGCAACATTTTCTGTGTCATATATTTCATGGAATGATCTCTTTTGGTAATTTAATAATTTCTTTTTTTACTTCGCATAAAATTAATTAAATTTTGTTTATTTGAATTATTCGTGTCTGAGCTCTAAATTTCGTTTTTGTCTCGATCCTAAATGTTATTGGATTTAAATTGAATGCATTTCGGCAAGTAAGGAAATACGCTTACACGTTTCGTTTCTTGCGAAGTAGTTTATATTAAATTATTTTCAATATGTCTTTTTGTTTTTATAATGTAACTTTACATCTCGGGTGTCGTCAGTTCTTCATTTCTAGATGTCTTTATATTCCGTTAGATACAAATATAAGTAAAGTAGAATCAGTGTTCAAAATATCAACAAAATCTGGATTGGCTTTAATGATCTGCAGCACAAGAACTTTGAGATTTATTTGAAAATTGTATGTTTTATTTTATATTTATTTCGAATCGTTTTGTATTATATGACCATTAATATACCCCTCCCGTTTCTCCATCTAACTTATCGGCCATGATAAGCGATAATTTATAGAAGAAAAGTGAAAAGAAGCTTCCATGGTGCCTTCTATTAAATCTTTCACAGTCCAATGTGTGCGTTGAGTGACGACAATTTTCCTTAACTGTTTTACCTGCTTATTGTTGTGTTTTTGTTGTTGTTGGATTTTCCTCACATATTTTGCAAGCATTCGTGCGGGTAAATCACTTTTGGTCTTGTGCCATTTTTCACTCTTTTTTCTGTTTTTGCCTTTTTCGACACAAGTTTGTTGTCTTTTCTTTATTGCCAAAACTTAATTATTTTTCGAGCTTAAGTGGTATCTGTTTTGACCTGTAGTTTACAAGATTTTGTCATCTTAATGAAATTTAATTCGTTATGCTTGTTGTATAAAACTAATTGAGGTGTTGAGTTTGTTTTGAAAAGGGTAAAATGTAAGTTCTTTAAGTATCTAACAATGTACATAAATAAGTAAGCTTTAATTTAATGAATACTTTAATCCCACATCGCACAACTTTAAAAACAAGGTGTTGTTAATAGTCATAATTAGGGTTATTAACTGCAGGAGCTATCGAATTTAAACTCATTGCTTAAATAACGTTTATTTGGAGCAGTCCCGGGATTTATAAATACGCTGGATTGTGTAAACAGTTATTTCCCCCACTTATAGAAGACAAATTAGATTATATTAAAAGAAAATAATCAGGAAGTTTTTCACAAAATTGTGATTTTTTAATACAACTTATTTGTTAGCTTCTGCGGCATGAAATAAATCCTTATCAGTTACCCCACTTTCAGGATCAAGAAACTATACATTTAAAGCACGTTATTTGACATCCTCAATCCATTTAAAATATGAAATTTAAACAATTATTTAAAGCACTTATTCCACTTAAATGTACACATAATGTACTCGTATGTAAGATGCATATTTCTTTTTTTTTTTTTTTTTTTTTTTTTTTTGCAAAAGCCTTGTTAAGCCAAAACAAAACACTGAAAGATTTCACTTGATATCCTGCGGGGTCACACTAACCGTTTAAACTGCCAATTGTTGTATTATATGCAATGCACTGTTGATGTTATTATGTGATGTGCCGATAGACGAATGTAAACTACACTGTGGCGAGCCTGCCACATGCACTTTTATACACAACGCGAGTAGCTTCCAAGCCAAGTTGAACACAAGATCATAACAAAAGTAAAAACAGCAACAACAGCGATACAACAAAAGCAGAGTCAAAGCCAAAAAACCAAAGCTTCTCCACTCTAACACTCCAACTACAAAGCAAAACAATGAGCGGCGGCGGCATGTTTTTTCGATTTTGTTTTTTGTTACTTTATGTAACTTCAAATGCACTCTCAAACGCGAATCATTGGCTGCCTCTTCGTCATCATCATCACAGTCATCGTCGTTATAAGCAACAACGAAAAAAATAACAACAACAACCAGCAATAACAACAAGTGTAGTAGCAGCGGTTGTTCAAAGCTGCGACGCATGCGCGTCGACTGCGCCGCCAACAGCAACGCGCATCTGCCAAACATTCGTATGTCAAGTGCTCTGGGGGCTTGAGCTTTTGCGGTTTGTTTGCCGGATGGACGAAGTTTTTGTTTGACTTCTTTTCTTTGTTGTGCCATGATAAAGAAGACAGACCTGAAAGTCAAGTTGCCTACTCTTTTGCCACTTGCCGCTCTTTAAAAGTGAAGTTCGCACCAATTGGCAAAGTTGTGTAATTAAATGCGCAGCGGGTGCTGCGTCTGCTTAACGCCCATTACGCATACGTCGCGTGTCCGCTACACAAATCATTCGGTAACTACATCTTTGCCAAATGAGTCTTTAACAAAATTGCAGTTATTTGAATAAATTTCAAGCCGGCGTAGTGGGTGGCATTACAGGCATCTTTGAGATGTGAATACCTCTCAAAAGGTAGGCTCTAACTAAAGGGTGCATAGATTTGGAGACAAATGTTTGTAAGGACTTAGCTTAAGCCAAGAAACCCTTCTGCTCTCTTTCAGTTGCGCCAGTTCATTACATCAAAAATGTTGTCAGACCTATTTAAGAAGGTATTGTCTACTGCTGGCTCAACTGTTGGGCAGTTAAAGAACAGTTGATGGTAAATAATGGGCTTTAATTTATTTTAAGCCTCAGTGCAAGTTCCTTGGATCTTATAGCTAATTAATGTTGTGATCTGAATATAGAAAAGGACTTGACATTTTTTACATTTCCATAACCATTACTCAAAGTACGTTTCACTTGAAAATGGTAGTGTGGGCCTGGGAGTTTTCTAAGTTCTTCAATATCTTTAATATTATATTCCCGATCACATCCATACCCATCAAGTAGCATCTAAACTGCATATAAGCCATAAACGTAAGCAAATTCAATTGCCTAATCGTGGCCGTTGGCATTAAAATGCTGAGATAAAGTCATGGCTAAGAAATCCGAGACAGCTAGTGTCATTTGCAATACTCATAAACTAATGGTGAAAAATGTTTTCGATACATTAAAGCAGGTTGAAATTTCGGTCGTTCTATATGTCTCCCATATAAACCATTCTTGGCTTGATTTTAAAATATTCACTCAGTCAGTGAGCTGTAGCCAAGCTCTTATATGAACCCTCTCGATTCTTTTCTAGATACTAACCATATGCGAAATAAGCTTTCAATTTAATTGCAGTTATCAGAATTGGGTGGCATACATTTATTGGTTTAGTGTTCATAATGTCAGCGCCTTAGGCCACAGTGGGTGGCAATTCGGGTTGCTTCCAGATGTAGCTGGCCCATGGGATGCATTCCTTCAACAAGTGCATGTAGGCCAGACCATCGGGGCAATCGATCTCTGTGGCAGGAACGCCCTCTGTCTGGCAAAGCCAATACTTGGCCGGATCGAAGTGATGTGGATAGGTCTGTCCGATTTCCGATGGGTCTCGGCAGGCAGAACGACCGGCATCAGCGTTCACTGTGACAATGATGGTAGCCAAGATGGCGCACAGGGCAAATACTGAAAATAATAAGAAAGTTTTTGAGAATGGAGATATATTATAGTAGTTAAACTTTCATATACCCACCAGCTTTCATGATTGTAATGAGAAAGTTTCTATCTAAACACAAATAGAAAATGTGCGGTTCACAGTGGGAGGCTGGCACTTTTATACTCCTGGCCATACTCACAAAAAAGTCAAAATTGCCGGCCCAATTGCGCAATGCACGCGCATCCGCTGCGTTGATTTTTATCAAAAATCAGAATACAAGGTTTCTGATAACAAGCACTACGCAAAATGGAAGGAAGAAAGCGATAAGAATTTATATAGAGATATATTTAGAATTTACTTTGCAAATTAATTGCATTGAAGATGGACTTTGAAAATGTACGAAAATTCGATTTGAATTCCCTTAAATTATATCTATTACATACTTGTAAAGAGCTTCTGCAATTCTGAATATTTTAAATAAAAAAAATGTAGTAAAGCTTATGTTATTTTTAAAATTTATTTTACCAAATAGTGCTTAGAAAGCATTAATAGTAGAGTTGTACCTTTCATTACTACTCTCCCGCTTTTATTATAATATTATATATTATAAGTATATATTTAAACGGGCAAATATATACTTTATCATTTATCATTGCTACTATTACCTGTAAGCCACGCGAAACAGATATATTGACTTATCGGGATGCAAAGCGCCAATTTCTCCAACATCTTGATTGCTTATGTTAATTTACATAATACAAGTATAACATTTATATAATATAACATTTCCTTTTTTTTTTCAATAATATGCAAAGCTGAATAATGCTCAAACAATTTAAGTATTTACTGTCGGCGTGGCGGTATCTGAGAGATGCCAATGTCATATGAACAACACTATTAAATGAAAATTGTACTTACATTTTTACGACCCTTCCAAGACACGTCGAACTCTTCTTCTCTTTAACTTACTTTAATTATTGCTATTTTTAATGTACTACTATATGCATAGAAACAGTTGAGAGCTCTTATCAAGTTGTAAGTGAGGGAACCCAGAGATAAAGTTCGGTTCAATTTATCATCATGCTTCAATATCAACAGTGTAATGCGTCTGTTGTTGCTATGTATTACATTTTATTGATAGACCCGCATTGTTGACAATAAATATTGATTGACAGCTTGTCGAGCTTCACTTCATTTGCTACTATTCGCAAAAATGGATACGAACAGCATTAATACTTTTAATGTAAATTCATTTAAATTGCGAAACACCAATAACAGCAGACGTTGATTTTTTCTGTAAGGGATGTTTGAATTTCTGTTTTTCCTATTTGTTTTTATTTTCCATTTTGTGTTTGTTAAATATGTATTTTATTTTGCATTCATATTAACTTTTTTTTGGTTTGTTTCGGCGACTGCTGCCGAGAGCGTTTTATTTTTTGTTCGCCAGCTACTTGACCAACATAAATAGGCAAGTGTGGATGCAAAAAATCATCACGAAACACAACCACAAAACACTTAATAGCAAAACTTTAAAGCCGACCAAAAAGGCTAAAAAGAAACGAAAACTAAAATCGCTTACAAAATGCTTAAAGTGTAATTACAGTTTCCGCGTTGAAGACGAAGCTGTGGCAGCATTGCCAACAAAGGGGGACAGGTGTTGCCAATCGAGCGGAGGGGACTATGCCGCCAAGCGTTTGACAACATTGGCGGCGATGATGAAGTTTTAAGTATGTGTGATTGTTGCTGCGGGTGCTTTCTTTGTTTCGTTGGACATTTCGTCAAAGCCTATTATCGTTTAAGGCGATACGCTTTAAGCTAATAAACTTATTATGTCTGATGCGGCTGGCCGGTTGCACAAACCCCAAACAGCTCGCACGCATATTGTTAACACAAAATGGCTGCCTATCGACGCGTGTCCAAAATTAGCGCTATTTCAATAGTTCTAAGTGCTTTTACTTGTGCGCCATTTCCTACTAACATGCACCTTGTGCTGATAAGCCTTCGCAGATGCCCGGGCATCCACTTTCGCAACACTATAAATATGCTGCTGTTTTACCGAAAAGTGTAGCATTTCACTCAGTGCACAATCAAAATGCATAAAGGTGAGCAAATAGGGTCTAAGTACTACTAAGTACTAGCAACACACCATCAAAAATATCCTATTTTGAGTAACGATTGCCAAAAAAAATATACTAACTGCTACTTGATCATTTTTATAATCCGAATTCAGTATTAAATTCTGTCAGATCGGATAGTTCATTGTTTAAATGACAATGACAACTATAAAATCATTCTGTAAAGAGACAATTGAAAATTGTGAAAAAAGTATTAGCATTGTCATAAAACTAAAGTGCTTTAAATCATTTTTGATAAACTCTAGACAGCCTCATTAACTATTAATTTATCTCTTTAAAATTTCTGTGATTAATTTTCTTTCTTTTAATCCCCACAGCCACTCTTGCCTGTTGCCTGTTTTTGGGACTTTTCTTGGCCTACGCCTCCGCCTATAATGGCCAGGATATCTATGCCGAGCCCAACTGCGCCATTGTTACCGATCATGACCGTAAATTCCGTGACATATCCGATCCAACTCACTACTGGGTGTGCTATGAGGGCAAGGAGAAGGCCGACTATGTGCAGTGTCCCGATAACTATGCCTTCATGGAGAATCTCCAGCTCTGCGTTGTATGGGAGGAATGGAAGTGGATTGAACCTTACACCAAATAAACAGTGCAGTGGCTGACCTTTTAACCTATGTCCTGCATAGAAAAGCGTAACAACTTTGCCTTGACTTTTATTACTATTATGAATTATTTTGTGCTAAGGAGAAGCGAACGGCTTCCTTGTTTGTCATTTAGTTTAGCAGACCTTTGGATTTGATTTGATTTGATTTGATTTGATGTACAGATTTGGGGCTGTGGTGGTTTACGAAGTTGGTCGTTGTGTTACAGCTAAATACATAATAATTAATTAACTAACTACATGCCAGAACTTTCTGCTCCTCTTACATCACCTAATGATAAACTGATAAAATGATGATAAATTGTGCACAGAAAGAGAATTACGAGAGAGTGATTCAGTGGAGCTGTATTGGCAAATTCAAAATTCGAAACTTATCAGCAAACTTTTGTTTTCAGAGCCACATAAATAAATGGCTCAGTCAATTTTAATAATCAAAAGACTGACATAACTTAGCAAGTGAGAAAATATTAAGCCATTACTCTCTATATGGTTAAATTATAAAGAAAGATATTTGAATCATGTTAGAGGAAGGTTAATGGATCATAAATATGCCCTCTAAACTGTGGATACTTAAAAATGTATTCTAAAAAAAATAATGGTAAAGATACCTGCTTAGCTGTTTTATATATTTTCTTCTGCATAACGATTGAGTCAATCTGGAAGGATTAATTTTATTAAAAAATTGACGTCTACATGAGCTAATTAAAATTATTATTATAAGAGATAGCGAAGTTTACAAAACTAAACTAACTTAGATGGTATAGCGCTGGCTGCGAGGCGTTCGGCTTGAGTTAATTAAAATAGTTCCTTATCAATAATGAAACTATTAATTTTTCTTCAAGAGACAGAGTCAGTGACTGAATCGTAGTTAGAATCATTACTATTGCTAGCGAGGCATAATAGCTTGTGACAGACTCAGGAATACTTACGAAGTCAGAAGAAGGAGAAGTATACTATATATCTGGTTTCCCTATTGAATTTTTATCTGATTTAAAGAGCTACAAATAATATAATAGGGGATCTAGGGATTCATAACATATGTACATATATCAGTGGTTTGATAAATATATCCATATATGTATATAAATATGCCTCTGTTACATGTATGTACGTAAATCATATTATTTATTCCTTTTTATACTTTTCCAGTTCTCCGTGTTTGCATATGTATGTCATGATTAGTCCCATACAAGTTTATCTACAGATATACCGTTACTTCCTAAAACTTTTAATTAACAATGTTGCCAAACGATTCGGTAAACTTTTTCAATTGTTTTCATAAAATATATTCATATGGGAGACCTTCAATATTGAAGTTGGCACAAACATTTTAAATTTTTGCCTTGCAGTTTCTAATTGTTGAATAAGTATGATGGTTCAGGGTGCTCATATGCTTGGTTTAATTAGGCCTTTGTCTATATTTATTATATGTAGATATATGGAGAATTTTGATTTTAAAAATTAAAATTGATTAAACAATGGTGGGTTTACTAAATAATGGTATGGTGTTTTCTTTTTATAAAAAATAAGTGTTCAAAGTACAGCTTTGCTATTGAACATAAGTAGGCAAGATAAGTATTTACTTAGCAGGCATTAATTTCATAACTCACGCCTGTCAATGTGTGTGCGCAATCAATTAGGAATGCCAATTATGCTGAACTTTTAATTAAAACAAAACTGCCAGGCAACCAGCCGGATAATTTCCCATGAGCTAGTTATGTGGATGGCATTGACTGTATTTTCATATCGCACACACCACAAACAAGCAACAACAACACAAAGGCACACAGAGATATGTGATATCACATTCGGGCCCTTACAGGCATTCAGACATATATAAATACCTATGATACATACATATGTCTGATAAATGAAAATTAGGTACTATGTGTGTGTGTGTTGGTGTTGCGCTTGCTTGTACGGTTATCTAACACCTTCGATTGCCAATCAAAGTTGATGATGGCGATGCCGCTGCTACCGCTACCACAATCAATCAACTTATTTTGTACATTGCCAGCATATTCATTCAATCTTCACGGCTGGCAAGAGGGCACGCACACGCACTCGCACTCGCACTCGCATTTGCACTCGCACCGGCGCTCGGAGCGACTACTGCTCCAATTTGGGGGCTTAACAGAGCCCGTACTCGTATTTGTGTTTTACTTTATTTCAATTCAACATTTTTCATAAGTAAAAGTCATAAATATCAAAGTAAAGGCATCAACAACTAACCAACATTGGTGTGCACACACATTAAAAGTGAAAAGTACTTCAATAAATTTTGTTAGAAATCATTGCGGGCCGTAAAGTGAATAACAAGTAAATGTGTCTGACATTTATTCCCAGTGTCTGCTGTCTGGCTGTTTGTCCGTCAGTCTCTTGTCCATTTGTCCGTGTGTGTGAATTGAAGTTGTTAGACAAGGCAAGGGCCCTTGAGGTGCTCATCAATGAACGGCATCATAAATGTTAACCGTGTTTGTTTTAACGTTTTATAAGGTCTTTGAGTTGCGCCGTGGAGGAGACGGCTGCTGCTGCTCAAATTAGGCATTACATGTTGTCACTTGGCCAAAAGAAAGTTTAAAAACTGTTGCAGCAGCAGCGGCCTTGAGAGTGCGCCCATACATTTGTCATTAGACAGTGGCTTGCTTCAAGGAAAGTGGCGGCAAATAAATATAAATAGGATGTCATATTCATGCTTAAGAGAAATAACTTTATTGATTGAAATAAGAATGAGTTTTGAAACAAGTACAATTTATCTTGATACCATAGCTTTGCTAGCTCTCTTACGATCCTTGCGAATTTGAATCAAATTTGTACATACCTGGATAAAGTCGAAGAAGCAATAGTTTTTAAACCTTAAAAAAGAGAGTGACATTTTCAAAAAAGATAGGATAAACTTAAGCAATTAACTCACATTATGTTGAGCTCAGGATGTTCAAAAAATTCTTCATATTGCACTATAGGATTTACTTTTCATCCGATAGTAAATCAATCAGCTGCTGGGATAATAAAGAATTGTAATTTTTATTGGACTTGAAGATTAAACTGAAAAGGCATTTCACACTGATATTAAATAGATAGATTCGACAGAACTCTTCTTACATATAATTGAATTTTAAGAACAGCAACCGAAAGCAAAATGTTGAATAAATCTCTACTAATTACTAGATTTAACGTTTGTGTATTCCCATTATTCTTTAATATTTTAAAAATTCTTCATCCCTGTTTATGAATTTTTCAAGCATGGAAATGTCGCTTTAAATTGTAGCCATTGGGCTGTGGGGAAGTATATTCTTTTAAATATATTCTTAAGTTTATAGATAAACCTAAACTTGTTTATCTATGATTCCAAAAAGATTGGATTATGATTTTCCAAATTTTCAAAGCTAAGCCTTAACTGGAAAGTAAAACAAAGTAAGTCTCTCCACATGCCTGCTTTAAAGTTGGCTTTTGTTACCGATTATTGTGACACGGACCACTGTGCGTAGCTTATCAGTTGTTTAGATAAAAAGAGTCAGCCAGTCAGTATTGCTGCGGCTGCTGCTGCCGACAATGAGCATTAAAAACAAAGGCAATATACTTGTGAGCTCGTACTGACCACCAATCACAAATTTGGTAAGACAAATAGCAGCAAGTTTTGTTATTTTAATTACTAAAGCCTGTGCGTGGGTTTTAATTATTTTTCTTTTATCAGCTGGCAGCATCGAAATCAAATGCTAAGTATTGCCGTGCTCTGCTCATTTGTTTGTCTTTCTGGGTTAAGTTGGTGCGCTCGAAATATGCTACAAAATTGTATTGTATTGTATTGTTCAGTTATTGTGTATATGAAGCGGCGTCAACACCACCAATAGCAACCACACTTGGGCGCAATTACACGACGATTACGATTATGTGTTTATGATTTCTTCAACATTTTGTGTCTAGTTGTGCAAATAAAACAAACGGCAACATAAAATATTGTATGGCCCGCAATACAAAGAAAAAAGTACAAAAACTTGCAGCTGTTGGCGCTGCGACATTGAACTAATTTTTTTCTCGTTTTCGGCCTCTTTCAAACGTAATTTTTATTGTATTGTAGTAGAAAATAAATATGCGCTTAAATGTTGAAGCGTGCTTGATGCTTAAAGTGAACTCCAACAGCATTCAAAAACCAATCAATGATCGTATTAACAATTGTTTTCGCTTGCGACAAAGCACTGCTAGGGCATGCGGGCCTATGAGAATATCACGTATACGTCATTAGCGCTCAGCTAATGATCGATAAGATGACTGAGACTGAGTACCAAATAAAGATGTGCACAGTTGTTATTCTCGAGTGCGTCATATTGAATGACAAAGAATTATACATTTTCATTTGCAAAATGTTAGTCTTTTGAATGCCCAATGGACCCTGAGAATAATTTTAAAATATCAATCTCTGACTTGCACAAAATGTTCAGTCATTCTTGAATTATTTATGTAATTTATACTATAATAGTCTACTTTAAAAAGGACACCAGTAAAACACTAAAACCTTATGTGGTGTCCCTAGATCTTATAGTCTCTGTGATGTAGGTGTTCATACGGACAGACTGGCAGAAGGACAGGCAGGCAAACAGATAGGGCTAAATCGATTCAGCTTGGCATGCTGATCAAACATATACGATTATATATTTTGTGGTATCTCCTCTCATGTCTCCTTCTGCATTTATGTTTTAGGTACAGAGTTAAAAAATTGTCATGTCGCTGAAGTACTTTTAGCGACTAGTCTCTTTATTTGAATTAGTTGGTTGCTTTTGGTTTTTGGCATCGAAATTTTAGTTAGCTTTGTAAAAAATATAATCATTGAAATAGTACGGTCAGACCCTTTTTATTTTCGTAATTATAATAAATGAGTGACATTTTGGACCATTTGCAAATTTTAATTAGAATGGGTAACTCGTTAAAGGTCTGTCGCTGTCGCCGCTTTTGATTGATAGCGGCGTTGATTTGCCTGATAAAAAACACACAAATATAACATTCTATTTATGTATATACCTACTCGTATGTGCCAAAGGTACGGCTGTCAGTCAGACAAATGACAAATTGACATGTCGCAAAAATGATAAATCTCCCGACAGACAGGCAGACGACATGTTGGAAAACGGACAGAAAGAGCTAACGGCGAACCAAAAGCAAATCGAAACGACCTTACATTAAGCTGATAAATAAATTCAAAGCAGAAACGTTGAGTGACGTCTACACAAACGCCTCCAATGTGGCCCCAGACTTGAAGCACCTGCAGGCTTATATTTATTATGCCTACAACATAATCTAGCGGAAGCACTCGTCGCCATCTCTTTGGCATAGGTCAAAGTTCACGGCGGCCATCAGCGACGATGCGCAGATGCCACAGAATTCAATGCTAAAATACGCTGCTGACATCATAGTCGTTATTTTACCATTACCCAAATGTCGAGCCCTGAATACTGATAAGCTACTAAATGAATAATTGAGCAATTGTAAAAAATTTGCAATGTTTTCAAAAACAAAGACACAAACCTGACCCAACACATGTGCAGGTTTAATTCATTTTTCCATTATTCGCTCTTCGTATCAAGTGTTGAGATTTGTTTGCTTTTTATATTTAGTTTGAATTATTTAAGGTCTGACGTACTTCGCCTACACTCAAAAAAATTAAAAACAATAAACTCGCATTCACTCGCACATTTAAATATTTATACACCGAATAAAATATTTTTACCATCGATTTTTAACCAAAATGTGGTTTAATAAATATAAGAATATAAAGTGTGCACGTTTCAATTTCGATTAATCATCTTTAAATCATCTTTAATATTTTTCAGCATACCAAGCATACTTTGTTTTTAATATTATTAAAATAGAAATAAGTTCTTAGTTAAATTTACCATGTTAATATTTTATTTAAAAACCAAATACATATTAGAACAATAAAGAGAATAGGACAATAGTTTTCTTTGAGTGCACATGGAATCGATAATCGTCCAAATTGAATGCTATTGAAGTGACAGCATCAAAATGTTTGTCAAAATGTTTGTCAAAATGATTGTCAAAATGTCGAATCCCTTTTAAAAGTATTAATTTCGCACAATCTGTTAGAGTGCTTGAGCTTAATTGAAAGGGATTATTGGGCGATTTAGACCTATCGGAAAATGGAGAACAATTTATTCTTACAAAACTGCTTGTTTTGAAAATGTTCTAAAGTTCCAATTTCCAAATTGTTCAGTAATGGAACTTTACTATTGATAAGGAATAATCTGTCAGCTGTATAGGCTGGTGGTTTAAAGCTGTCATTGTATTCATGCTGCCCAAAAGGTGGATATTAAAACTTGTGGTGCAAGTTTGTGGCACTGCCTCGCGCCAACGGCTTAAATTATATAGAGTACCAACTACAGTCAATAAGGCTTAAGGGAGATTTACAATTGGAGAATAATTTGCAAGACACTAAAAGTGTCTAAACTAAACTCAAAACAAATACCAAATATCTTTATTTTAATATGAGAATCATGGGAGCACCTTTTAATCCAATTGCATTAAACTATCATTTTTTTTTTATTAATTTTTACTCATTTTTAGCTCATAGCTATATAATATGGCTCCTGGGATTTTCCGTCAATCATAACAACGGACGAAACAATTTTAAGTCCCTATTCTGCAAAGGCTCTAACTTAGTAAGCTACTTACATATATGCACATTTTTTTAACGAAAAGTTGTATCTTTTTTTTACATTCGCGAAAAAACTTATTTAATCGTTTCATTTTTAATGTTGCTAATAAAGTTGTCTCAGACTTTTAACAATTAGATTGACTTAATAAAAAAACATTGGCTTTTATGCTGTATTTATGGAATTAGTTAATTAGATAAACGTGTAGGAGCCCTTTTTATGTTTTCCAGAGTTCGTTTTAGAATACTTGTATAAGATTTTCATTACATTTTAATGTGGATTTGTTGAAAAATATCTGTTACTAATATCATAATTGAAAAGGCTTTGTGATTTGTTCAACCATAAAAATTATGAGTATGAAGAAACCGCTATTCTTTGTACATAATGAAATTTCCATAGTTTTCAGCGTTGCTTGATGCTTTGACATTCGCAACGGAGACGGCATTTTAATGATGCTTTTAATTAAAATGGTTTTTGTTTAGGTTGAGCCTTTGTTGATTTCAATGTTTTGATTCTTTCAACGGTAAATTTTTAATTCATCATAAGTACGTATGCGTAACTGTATGTTGCAACAATTAATATGCAATGCCGACTGCATTTATTGAGCGAGCAGAAATTTTTCGGTTGAAGCTTTCACCACAGTTGCCCCTTAGTTCCAGTCGCTCAACAAACAGCTGAGCAGTTGATGATGAACCGTTGGAAGTCACAGATGTGTGTGTTGGTGAGCGAAGAGCTGGACTGGAAAGCTGTTGCGTGTCCTATGCCTGGAAACGAATTCATTTCGGTCGCTACCAACAATTAGCCAAGTCAGCTCCGCCTACTGAGCGCATTTGAAAACAACTTTTGCGAATGTACATTTGTATGGCAGGAGAGTATGTGTATGATGAGTATGAATTTTGGCAGTATTGGTGACAAGGCCACACCCACGCAGCCATGTTTGAATGAAATGACAGGCAGACGCCGTGGCTGAAACGAGAAAGTTGCTACCAGCAAGAAGATAAAATGAAATAAAACGAAAGCTTCAAATGTGTGCTTTGTTTCTTAGTATGTACATACATACATACATATGTATGTACTATATATTTATGTGTGTAGGTACGCGGGCGGTAGTGCGATACAAAATGGCAATGAAACACGCTACAATTTGGAAACAAAATATTACACGTTTGTATGTATTTATGTATGTATGTATGAAATGTATGTATGTATGTATGTGTATATGCATATATAGGTTATACATAAAAAGGTAGTTGGGGGGGGGGTTTGTTAAAACATTCAAACTTGTGCAGTCAAATGGTGTGTGTCTGTGTCTGTATATGTGTGGGTTGTGGTAGCTTAAGTAAGGTCATCGAAATGTCAAAAGTTGCATTTTTCGATTTGACATAACAGCGCCGCACGCACACACACACACACACACACACACACCCACACACCTGCAGCGCAACATGCACTCGGCTTGTAGGTTTCACACTTTTTGTGTCATGAATTGTTTGTCCCGTTGACATTTGTTGTGAAAAGCAGCAGCAACAACAACATCACATGCAATGCTGTGTTGTTGTTTTTTTTTTTTTTTTTGTATGTGTGTATGAGTGTGCGTGGGTGGCTTTGACAGCTGCAATTAATTTGCAAACTTTTCCTATTGCTTTTGCGTTTGCGTTGGCGTTGGTGTTCCCATTGCGATGTTTTTCTTCGCACCAAATAGAAAAGACATACGAAAATTTATTGATCGCTTCCACATTGGTAATCTAAGCCCACACCTACATATGTATATGTACATACATACATACATACATATGTATGTGTCCCTTGTGATGCTAGCTCCGCTTGCTCCTGGGTCCTGCCTCTTTGATGTCTGCCATTGCTATAGTTTTGTGCATGTGTATGTATGTATGCGTGTGTGTGTCCCCTCGCGCTCACACTAGCTTACATTTCAACACTTTCGGCAGCCATTTTGATTGAGCTTGCTCCTGCGGTGCGACATTAAAAATTCCACCACTCGTGCAACACATCAAACACACACACACACACACACACACACACACACACACACACACACACACACACACACACACACACACACACACACACACACTCACTACACATACATATACACACTCACCCAGGCCGCTTTGCGCCGGAATTTCTCAATAGATATTTATTGTTCCGTTTTGCGCCTGCCTGCTTCTCAAACTGACATTTCCACTTCCTTTGCTGCTTTGTCTTGTTTGATTTTTGCCTCAACTCGCGCTCTCTTGCTCACACACACACGCACGCATATATATATATATAGACTAGCCCAATGGCTGCCGCACTTTGTTGGCTTTGGTGCCTCGGCTTGCTCCCTAGCTCTTCTTGTCGTTGCCTTACATTCTGCTCTTTTGGGCAAATCGTCTTAATTTTAATTTTATTGTTATAATTCTGTTTGCGCAAATTCCATTATATTTTATTGCCGCAACATGGGTTGGCAGGATCTCGTTGATACTCGCATTTTATGCATTAAGCCATTGTGATTAGGTTGCTCAAGTTTACCGATTGTCTGCCATTATGCAAATACTCAAAGCACAAACAAACAGCACAGAACTGCTCTCCAGGCTCTGAATCATGTGCTTTTGGCTATTTATTTTACCTTTTAATGACTTCCATAAGCCAATTAGCTCAAATATTATATGCATACATAGTGCCTTATATATATATGTATGTATGTATGTACCTTATAGCTCGTTTATCAGCAACTAAGCCTATATCTATGCAATCTTACTAAGTGTGAGCATTGTTCTGTTTCTAATTTCGATTGATCTATGAAGGATGTAGTTTTTAACACATCTCTAAAAATTCGTCTCATTTTTTAAATTGACAACAATAAACATCTATAAACCAGAATTAAATTATGAAATCTCACACTACTTGTTGCTTAGTTCGATATGTGGTTGGGCTAAGGATAGTTATATAATATGTCTATCACGAGCTTATATTATCTAAGCTCATAATATTGGGACGTTCTCAATTCAACTGTATTTTTGATTGATTTTTAACCGATTTTAATTATTTTTTCCATTTGAAAGCTGGTGCCTTCGAATGGTTCCATTTTAATTTGGTCAAGTTCTGATAATGACCTTAAAGATACCTTATTTTGTCCAAATACCTGAAAATTCTATTCCTGAACAGGATGCTGTTACTTCAAAATCATCCCCGAAACATTATTTTTTTACTTTAAGTGACAACAAATTCATTTACTGATCTTGACCTGAAATCGGGTTTTTTGTTCTTAAAATTTGACTTGTTATAGTTCAGTTCATTTACAATTCGTTTCTTGACTCCCTAAAACATATAACTTTTGTTTTTTGTTCGTTTTTTAAATTAGTATATTGTTTTGTTTGTTTATTTGGCACGATGCTGAAACGTTTCGAGGATGGCAGCTTAGTACGCGAAGTGCTGAAGAAGTGTAACAGGCCTTTGACTGCTTCCGAAATTTCACGGGCGATTGCCAGGGCACTAGGTATACCTCTGGCATGTGTAAGGCCGCATATGGCCGGAGTTCTTCGCGACGGTGTACATTGGTCGTTTTTGGTCAAGGACAAGGACAACCTTTATTCATTGCAAGAGACCAAATTGTCAGATTTTGTCGTCGATGCAAATACCGGTAGGTGTATATCACAGAACTGTCATACGTTTTTCAAATGCACGATTAAATCCGTAGGCACGGTCCGCATAAGAAGGAAACCGAGAGCGAAAAGTCAGGAGCCTCAGCACATTATTGCAACCATTGATATAACCCGTTCGGAAAGTACACAGCAGATCGAAAGCGAAAAAAATCATAATGGCGGAAATCAGTCAAAAAACGGAGAATGTTCATCTAATGCGACACAAACAGGACGGAGTTTATCGCGATCTTCAAATGAACTGTGTTCCGAAAAGAAGAAAACAACTAAAAACACGGATCGCCAAACGTCTACAGAACCGTCCCCAAAGAGGCCTTCGTCAACCCCTCCAGGGAAAACATGTCGACAAAAGAAGACCATCAAAAAAGCAAACAGAGGCGATCGTTCAAGGACTGGAAAACGTTCTTTTGGTAGGGGTTGTGCAAAGCCAAAAAATTGTTCCTCGGGTAAGACTAAAAGAAATTTATTTCGCACGGCAAAAAGAAAAAAAAAAAAAATTAGTACTGGACAAAAAAAAATTAGTTTTCTTAAAAGCTTTTCACGTTTTTCAACAGACCCTTGTCGCAGGAAAAAAATTGGTACAGCAAGCAGAAGTATAGGCTGTGAAAGGAATTCGTCACGCTCCTCCTGTAATAGTCCTTCAAAAAGTTCTGCGTGCCCGTCAGCAATGAATTGTGCTGCGGTTCAAAAGCGTTCCGCCAGTAAATGTATGGATCAGCCGAAACGTAGAGGAAGGACTTTATCGCGTCCTTTAAATAAATTGTGTTCCGAAAAGAAGAAAAGAACTAAGAACACGAATCGCCAAAGGTGTCAACAAAAGAAGACCGCCAAAAAGCCAAACCGGAACGTTGGCGGTTGTGCAAGGCCAAAAAAAGATTGCGCTGCGGTTGGAAAGCGTTCCGCCAGTAAATGTGTGGATCATAAAAGTGATCCACCATGCCAGCAAAGTTCTCTTCGAACAAAGGAAAGACAGCGTTCCAAAAGTATATATACGGCTCGTAACGTGAAATCATCACGCTTCCCCAGCCCCTCAGCTGACTTCTGCGCAAAGAAAGAATTTCGAATTAAGATCTCGGATAGCATGCAAGCTGGCCCAAAAGGATTGACTTCAAAATGTAGCCAGGCAAGAAGTGGTAGAGCTTGCTCGGTGGTTGTCAAACAAGAACCAAGCCAAGGCTACCCGGCATGTAGAAGCACCCGTGCGCCTGTTAAAAGAAGTCATTCCGTAAGTGTGAAAAGCGAATCTAAAAGATCAAGTAGTTGTGGTCCTTCAGCACAAAAGAAGTTAAAGAGAAGCAATTCAAATAAATCCCGTCAAGAGGCTGTGAGAAGAAATGCGTCAAGAAGTGCAAGCCCAGCCAGAGCGTGTAAGAGATGCGCGAAACAATGCAAGAAATGCAAGCGTTTAGTCACTCATCAACATAACTGATCAATATTGTAGAATAATTGAAAATCATCAGCGAATCACGAATGAAGCTTTAGTCCAATGTATATGTCCAGATTACTCGTTTCTGCTGGATTTACCGATCTTTACTTATGTAACTACATAAATGTGGTTTTTAAACACGAAAAAAAATTCCAGTTAAACTAACAGAATGTGTGTATTAAAATCTCTTCCATGCGAAATACTTATTGTTATTGTTGAAGGGTATACTGGAATGTGTAAGTGCCAAAAATATGTAATAGGTACAGGAAGGCGTAGTTATCTGTCCGTTTGAAACAAAACTCATTAATAGTATGATGAAAATTCTACTGGAAATAGATTGGTAGTTCGGTATTGTCCGCACAAAAGCGTGGTTGAAAGATTCGACCATAGACTTTATTTTACACACCAATTTAACCATGCCGGCCACATGGCAACAAATTCCAAAAATAAAATAAACTCGTCCTTTCTCGGACCTAGGAGAATCTAGATGCCAACTTTGGTTATTCCAGCTTTTATAGTTTCAGAGATCCTAACGGACGGACATGTCTAGATCGATTTCTCTCGTCATGCTGATTCAGAATATACATACTTTATGGGGTCGGAGATGCTTCCTTCTGCATTTTACATACTTTGCACAAACCTAATATACCCTTTTTACCGAACGGGTGCAGGGTATAACAATAATTTTACCTACATTATTGTAGAAGAATACGTAATTATTTATTTACTTTTTAGTGCATATTAATTTGTGTTAGAATTGTAGAATTGTAAAAGAACCATTTGGATTCAAAGGCAAATCGGCCAAACCGTTAAATATAAGCATATGTATAAGTTGTAATATTTCTGAACGTCGGCTAACATTTCTACTACAAGTATATTGTAGATGTTTCTTTAAAACAGGCTTCAACTGTTCGCTTTAATAAAGCGAAACTAATCGTATATTGAGCGCGCAAACCCACACACAGTCACACCCAAAGGCAGATATAGACACACACACACACACCACTACACGCACAAACGAACACAGCACTCCTACGCGAAATGAAATTCAATTTTTCAACTCAAATTGCTGCCTCGCTTACTTCACCTTTGTAGCGTTTATGTCGACGCTAACGAGTGGCTCACATTACCGTTACTAGTACCGTTACCCTTTGCGATAACGATGGCAGCCAGGGCCATTCTCGTAATACAGGAGGTACCCAGGTAAGTAGATGTATCAGCAGAAATATTTGCAATGCTTAGATATTCAAAATATTTGTGGGAGTAGCAAATACGAGTACATTGAACACTGAAGCTGAAGGACAAGCTGATTACTGAGAAAAGATTAGAGGAATATACAAATCGCTTGGCCATGCAATGCCAGGAAAGTGAATTTATTATTATTAGTTTGTTCAAGAGTAGTCAACAAAATTGCTCTCATTTCGTTTGACTTGCGAATGACGAGTCACTCTAGGTGAGCAAATATTGAATAATGTGCGGTTTTGTTGAATAAATAATACTTTCAGTTTTATAAACGCGTGACGTAAATTTCCTTTTTTGGCAAAGTTTGCTGTATTTGTTTGATTATATACTTACTCGTATAAGTGTTTGACTTAAGCATTAAGCAAATTGTAGCTGTTACTTTCTATTTTTAATGTTTCTCTGTTACTCATATTTCCTTATTTACCGAAGTGTTCTATTCAAAAGCTCAAATTTCCGCCTTCGAAAACATCTTATATCACGGTCTGTTGAAAAGATGGTTTCATAGAAAAGTTAAATTCAAGGTTGTCAATCAAGGTGTGCAAAAGCGATGAAGTAAACGCTATATCGTGGTAAGCTTCTTTTGACAACAACAAAAACGACCAACAGGTGAAGTAAGTGAGTTTTATCGCACAGGTAATGGATATTACAAATTCTTGTTTGATAGCATTTCTTTCAATGCAGTTCTTGATAAGCTTTTCATTTAAGATACAAATCCAATTACTTACGGAAGCTTATTCCGCTGAAATTATTTTCTCAATTACACATAAACAGTCTGGTAATGATTCCTGATAATAATTTATTAGCTTAACAGCTCTAGTTTAAATCAATGCCTTCTTACCAATACGTTGAAACTATAAAAAAAAATGTCTCATCTGTTTCATCATGTTGGCCTTTTTAATAAATTTTGAAAAAAAACCAAATAAATATTATTTATATGTTTTATTTTACTTTTGTCCGCTGGATGCACAAACATCAAACGAGCTCTCCAATGATTGCATCACCCTCGGATCCCTGAGTTCCATGAAGCGCTGCTCTCCAGTCAATTTGAAGCTTTGTTTTTTATTTATTTGAAGTCATGGACAGAAAAGAGAGCCCTATTGAGCCCTGGCGCAAAGTCAACTCTGGCTTACCACATTTAGTTGCAGCACAGCTTGACAGCAGCCACAATTGCTGATGCTGCCACAGCCAATGCTGCTTTTGTCAAATGTTGCGCCCTTGGGGGCCTCAGAGCAGAGCCAGAAATCTTGGCAGCGCCATCGACGGCAGCGACGCGCTGTCTATCCAACTGTCAATATCAGTAGACTACTTTCCTGTGTGTGTGCGTGTGTTTGTTTGTACAAACAAAGGATCTGACACGGGCATTGAAAATATTTTATGGAAAATATAATTTAAGCGCACTAGCGCCATTCGTCCATGTCCGCGTCCGTGTCAGAGTGTGGCCGAAGCAATCCAATTAGGCCAATGTGGCGTATGCTTGATGTGGAGTTTAAAGATGTACGGTTGGTTCTTATTTCCAGCCCCCTCCCCCACCCGAAAGTAGATAAATTTTCAAAAACCAACACACACACATACTCGTATGTGCATAACAACAATTTTACATGCATAGCATAAAATCAATAAATTGTACGCATAACGAGGTGGTGGTGGCAATCTTAGGAAGGGGAGTGGAGCCACCACTTGGTGGTAGCAGTAACGTCGCACCTTTGCAAGTGTAAACATAAACACGGGCCAGGCACAGACATTCCGCACAGCTTGATACAAAAAATATTACAAGAGTTGTTCCTTCTTCTTTATGTGTTGGTGGTGCTGGTGGTGCTGGTGGTTGTAGTTGTTGTTGTTGCTGCTGCTGCTGCCGCTGGTGTTGGTGGTGGTGGTGGTGTTGGTAATCGCATTGTTGTTATTCTGGTTGTTGTTGGTGGCTGTTTACCATTTTACGGTTCGCTTACATTCTGGCAGATGCCGTTCCTGCCTCGACATCTAATTGCCAAAAGGCGTACACGTTTCTTATCATTATGTATTTCAGATGTTGTTGTTATTGTTGTTGCTGTTGGTTGTTGCCTGCCACAAGTAAATTTATAATTGAAAATAAACATCGAGGCATGTAAATTAGAATTATACGAGCACATAGTATATCTTATGGTTTTGGGCTGCTCTGGTTGTCTGGCAGAATATTACCCTTAAACATTAATTGCTTGAAAAGAGTCTGTCGACTTATTAAGGTTTGTAAAACCAGCCGACAATAGTCAGCTAAAATATAACTCCTACTTTCTTAATGAATGCAATTTATTTCCATTCTATTTAACGTGGCCGTTCCTCCTTTCCAAATAAAAATAATACAATTTGAACTGACGAGGAAGAGGCTACACCCGCATTGCAAAAACTATGCCAAAATTACTTAAATAGAAGATGGCCCCTAATAGCAAATATGTATATTTTTATTAAAATAATGGTTTTTTATCGAATAGCTTAAATAACATTTCATTTCATTTAATAAACTTCTGTCATGATCAGATGAGAAAACGAAATTTCGAACTAACGTTCCCAATATAAAATAAAAAAGATTTTTAGTTGACGAGAGATTTTCTCATATTTCTGAATGGTTTTCTCTACCCTATTGAATAAAAGGTTAAGAAAACTAACAGTATTTTAGAAAATAATGAGTTCAATAGACATTTTGGTTATTTTAAAGCATTTATTCTTTCCCGTTTTTAACAAAACTCGCCAAGATATTAATCTAACTAAGATAACAATGTGAAATAATTGAAAATAAATGTTGAACGATTTTTCAAGTCTTACGAACTAAAGCACATTCACAATATGAGCCATATTAATATTCCGAAGTAGTGTATACACGGTTTTAAAAACATGTTTCGAAATTAAATCTCAAATGAGCGGAATTTAAAGATGGAATCTAAATTCTACAAATCATATTAAATCTGGAACTGGATGATCGAAACCAACAGGAAGTGCATTTGCAGAAAATATAAATAAGTTATGCGCTTTACTGCAGGGAAGATTTTTGTATCGATATTTTCCTCTCACAACTTTGACGTTGGAGGGAATTTTGTAGCCGTGCATGCTTCACTGCCTTGCCTAGCCTTACATTTTTTGGCAGTGTAATTAGCAGGAGACCTTTGAAGTTGCTTGTTCATTTAGCTGCGCTTTCACAACCCCTGCGATTACTTCGTCCTGTAAGAGGGGTCATGTTCTTTCAAGAGGCCTTTATAGTCTCAGTTTCGAGTCGCACTTTTGACAGTTTTATTGTCAGTGCTCAAGTACTTCCACGCCATTGCTATTGGCAACGGCATGCTTGACTTTTAGTCACCTTTAGTGTCAAATTACAATTTATTTTCTCGAAACATTTAGTTGCGCGAATTTATCGATGGCATGAAACAATGACGATGACAAATGAGGATGTTTTGCGAAAGCGTCTATGGCCAAACAATTAGTGGTAAATTAGCATTGAATTATGCCCCAAGGGACGTGAGGGCAAATGAACTGAAGAATTTATTTTAAAAATAGACTGTGACCCATCAAAATACGTTAATTTGTATTATTCCCCGCACAAACATACATGTGTGTGTGTATACTTACTTGTATCTATGTATGCGTGATTAAAAGTTTGTTTGGTCTATTGCGGGTCTCTCATAGCATCCAATGCCTAGCTCTTCGTTTGTTTTTCTTCTTTTTTTTTTGCTGAGGAAGCATTGCGTGCCTTCTAGACATTATTCTCTGGCTTTTGTTTTAGTAACGTCGCTGGTTTCTTACTACTTGCCAAATAACCTTGTTTTCAACCACTTTAGGTAACGGAAAGTACGTTAGCCCGACGACTGGGCTATATACTTATTTTGGTTTGCTATATTCGCGAGTATATAAATAAGTATATATCGGCATGTAGAGTGCGGCTATGTGTTTTATATTTAAACTGCCACACAAACAACCGCAGCTCGACTTTGGCAGCTCCCCATTCCAAATTCACACCCACACCCACATTCACACTCACATCCACACACATATAGCCCAAACCTGCCAACACACAATGCTGCACGCGACACGCACACTCATTCACCCACACACCCGCACACCCGCTGGGGCACACCTTGATTTACGTTCAGCAGGCATTTTTCGGCGCTACTCTTATCGATCGTTGGCTTCGTCGTCATCGTTTCTGGCCGCATTGCTGAATTATAAGTTTTTCACTCTACGAAAAGATTACAAAATGAGAAAAAAGCATGAAACAAAAATAGACGTAGAAGCGCTTGGGAAATAGTTTTAGCAAAATTTTACACACGTAATTGCTTTAACGTGGCTGGCTTTTTAAAAATGTGCGCCTTGATTGCGGGCTCAGGTTCCAATTATTTACTTTTCAAGTTTCAAATGTAGTTTCCAGTTTAAGTTTCTCGAGGACCTTCTTAAAGCTTAGCTTGCAGAACTGTACTGGAAAGTTTATATAACTTTGCATTCGCTTTTATACAAATTGTCAAATTTTTCTATAGCCAAGGAAAATATGAAAACTAACCGCTGCTTACCTGACCTTGATATGACTTCTACTCGTAGTGGGGGCGAGGCGTTTTGTTGAATGCTCTAATTACTGTCCATGTTTACAATTTTTAGGTTAATCGATTAATGTTAGCAAATGAAATGAAATGGCCCTTGCAGACCACTTTAGAAACATTTTAAAAACAGGCATATAGACAATATAGAGAGATGGGCATAAAAAAGCTGTCAGAACTTCAATTAAAATTGTTGAAATCAAAGCATGATAGCTGAATTATAAAAGTATTCGATACGTAATTCAAATTATCATCTTCAACAGGTACTTGCTTCTTACTCTCAAACAGAATCATCATTTGACGAAATGGCAACCGGAAATTGAATCCATATCATAATTTTGTTATTATTAACATAAAATAAACTTTCTAATGAATTCGATATAAACTTGCTAATCATATTACCTGAATAATTAAAAGCCAACTGAAAAGAGGGGCAGATTTGTTAACTTAGCTGGAATCGGATATTAGAATAGAGATGATACTTAGAATTGAAGCTTAAATACCTTGGGGATGTGACTGATTTGCTGTCAGATACATTTAAGGCTTGGGGCTTCGGACGACTACTTTGTGACTTATACATAAATTAAAAGTAAGATCATTCCCAATTCTCTTCATTTCAGTGGGTATACAACTAAATAATGCGGAAGGAACCCTTTGAAGGAACACCGAAAATCAACAACGTCAAATTGCCCCTCGGAGCGTAATTTTTTCAACTTTAAATGAGCTGGCCGTAAAGTTTGTGAATAAATTGCAGAAAAGAGCGAATAAAAGTATTGCGAGAAGGACTAAGACAAAAGTGTCAAACTCTCCTCAAAGCTTGGAACTTTTGAGTGAAAAATTTACACATTTTCCTTATTTTTTACTTGTTCTTCTTGTCGAGGGGGAAAGTAATTTTTGCACACCTTTTTGCTCAGCTTTTGCCACTTGCCACAAAGTTGGTGGCAAATCATGATACAAGAGCTTTAACAACCCGCATGTAATGCGTAACATTTGACCTCAAGCCCACAAGTTAAATCTTGATAAATTACAAAAAGAAAAAACGCCCGTTGTGTGATAAATGACAAAGAAATTGGCAAATTGTGTGACAGTTGCTAGTGCAGTTTGCTATATTCCCCACTTCCTTTTTTGGCTGGCCACTCACGCAGACAAAAGGACGAAAAGTTGCGAACAACACGTGTGGAGTGAGGTTGAAGGATACTGCAGGATGGGCGGCACTTTAAGTGTCAGCAGATATTAATCAGAGCCATTTGTAGCACAATTTGAACAATGCCGTGAGAGAAATTGCTCCTGTTGTTGTTTGTATTTCAGAAATTAATAAAATGGCCGTGCCATTTCGTTGATGGCACTAGCAGCCAGGTTCACTCACTCCCCCTATACATATATATTATATGTACATCTGTAGGTATATATATTTTTGTGTGTTTGAGAGAGCGGGCCTGTAAAACAATTACATTATGCAAACTAAAGAAAAAAGGTAGCAGAGTAATAAAGAATAAGTAAACATGATATGTATTTGGACGCCTTATATAAGCGCCAAAAAGCATGCAACAAAAAATAGAAGAAAAAAATACACACAGACAGGCAGGTGAGGAAAAGCAAAAGCACAAAGAAATTGATTTTCGTGTAATGTGCGCCGAAAACAAATGCAGAGGCACAATAGAAAAAGCTGAAAAAGCTAGTAGCAGCCAGCTAAGTTCAAAGCGAATAGAAATATATTCAAATGTGCTCAACCGGGCGAGCGTAATGTGCATGGGAAAAACGGCAGGCGAGCCAATTGGTTGGACTGCCGTCTCGCAGCCCACACACTTGAATTGGCGCATGCGCTCCCCCACGACTCTGGTACTCATAACGATTTATATTTGTGTGTCGTCGTGTCCTTTGGAAAGGTTGGCGGTGGGTGGCAGGCCGTTGCTGCTCTAGAATTCCAGGCTGAATACCGACAAAATAACGGTATACAAGAGCGCAGCTGCCGTGGCCGCAGCCGTTGTCGTTGCCGTAGCCGTAGCCGTTGCTCTGACAGACAGAAGTTACCTTTGCTCCTGCCCGGACGAAACAACGCACGCTGCTGATTGCCGTTGTCGTCGTTGTCTGGTCTCACACACACAGCAGTGGAAATTCAGTAATAATAATAACAACAACAACAACAAATATAGTCATTAACAAAATTTATCAAAAAGAAAAGGAATTTTTTGTTCGCTGCAAAAATAAGTTGAATTCAATAAAAAAGTTGTTTCTAGATATTTTCACAACGAGTGCGAACCGTGGCAGTGTAGTGTGTATGTGTGTGTGTTGCGTGCGTGTGCCTGCGTCCTTATGAGCGTGTATACGTTAACGGTTTCCTCGGACCAAAGCGCTAAATAATTCTTAGTTTTATATAACCCGCAACACCAACAAAAAGAAAAGGCAAAGGTAAAGGCAAACTGCAGTGGAAAGTGTGTGAAAAATCAAACAAGGAGCAGGAGGCGTAAGTCCGTCGTGAAAACCGTTGCCAGCAAAACTCGCGCGCGCTTCTCCAGCGAAAATCAGAAAACACAAGTCCCAGCGCCCAGCTGAACGTATCGAACGAACGTGGCGTCCAACGAGAGCAACAACAGTGCCGCGGGTGGCAGTGGCAGTGGCGCAGAATCTGCCGCACTGTTCTCCAAACTACGTAGCTTCTCCATCGGCAGCGGGCCCAACTCGCCGCAGCGAGTCGTCTCCAATTTGCGCGGTTTTCTAACACATCGCCTCAGCAATATCACACCTAGCGATACAGGTTAGTTAGACATCCTTAACTTTTTGTTGTTGCTGTTACCATTTTAATGAGTGAGTGACGACGAGGTTGCTGCCTTGCCTCAAGTGCTTACATAACCCGGACACGAACGCTGCGCTTGTCAAGACAAGCGATGGCGAGTGCGCTCGGAATATGCATATAATTAAAATTAAACAAAAAAACGCGCCACTACACAAAAGATGCAAGTGTGTTGTCCTTTGCCAAACACATACACACACACACACATGCAGACAAATACACTTCCATATAAAGGGCAACATTTGCTACACTTCACAGGGTAGACACACGTTCTATTTATGAGCCAGCAAATGTTAAATTCAACTCTGCTCTGCACTCGTATGTATGTAGGACTGTGTGTATGTAATATTGTATGTATGTAAGTCTGTTTGTAACGACTGTGATGTTGAGTGTGGAGTTTTTCAGTGGAACGAAATGGAATGAAACAGTTGGTCGCCTAACGTCCGATAGGCAACCACATGTGCGCGCTTGTTATGTAATTCGAGTACACGAAGCTTTTGAAATCTTGAAAAAAGTACACCCTAAATAAATAGTAGAAGGAATTAAATTTGTAAAATTATGCTGTTTTATAGAATTGGGTTCTTATATAAAATATTCACAGATGTTCCTTGGTAAATTTTTATTGATTGTTATTTATATAAAGGCGGATAAATGACAGTAGCAATGGATGTTGAATAATTGACAAACTCAGTAAAGTAATTATTTATAATTTTTTCTACATTTTAATCAATTTGTAATTTAGCAAGCTTTGTCAGAATACATCAAAACTGTTAATTAGTTAGATGTATATTTTTCGAAAATTGGTCTAACTCGGCTTACGAGAATTTTTATGTATTTGGAAACATAATCTACCTTTATAAAGATGAACGTTTGAAATACTTATTATCGAGCTTTTATTTTCATTTTATTGAAAACTTAGTAGCACATAGAAACATTTTCTAGGACACTCAAAGCAAAGGTTTTAAGACCCGTAATTTTTGGAAATTTGCCTTTTTTAAACATAGATACTTACAAAATTATTTTTGTATATACTGAAAGAAAGCGTTTAAAAATGTAGTTCTGCCTGCTAAGATTTTTGAAAATCCTATTTTTATCCTAGAACATATAGCCGATACGTAATGATATTGGAATTTGCTGTTCCAAAGCACATTTTTAGGCACAAGAGAAGCATTTGAGATATTTGGAAATCTCCCTAAGATTATAAATTTATATGTAAAAAAAAAAAAATAATCATTTGGTTATCATTTTATTTGGATAAGTATGTTCCTATCATTGGCTGGAATTGTCGCATAACTTTCAACTGTTGTGCTATAACACATAATGTTTGTTTGTTTCAGGTAATATCCGAAAGTCAAAATGCAAATAAAAAAGCTTACGTTTAAGCTATCGTTCGTATCCTTCAATTTTTCAACACTATAGGTTTTGGCTAAAATGTAGGCTAGGCTAGGACTGTTTGTGCTAACAAGGGGAAGGAATAAATATATTTGCCAGCAAAGTTATTCTAGAATACTCGTACATTTTGCAAAATAAAACTGCACTTTTTTAAAATAAAATGGAGTAAATAAACATTATTAACAACTCATTGACATGACAGAACAAATATTTTAAAACAGGTTTCAGCGTTGCAATTGTGCATACATTTTAGAGACCCTTTGGTTAAACAAATTTACGAATTTTTTATATTAAATGCTAAATGCAAAATTTTTGTTTTTTACTGTGGTTGGTTTTCTGTTATTTTATAAATTGTTAGTATATCTGAGCTTTTGTTATTTTAGCATTTTTATCATGTGAATGATAAATTTGGTTAAGATAGCTGTGTTAAAATTTCGAACAAAAAGCCTTCTGTTACACTTTTCTGGAAACTTGTAGCCGAGATCTGTAAATATTGCAAGTAAATAGTTCTATTCATTAAATGCTGATTCAGAACAGACGCAGTTTCTTTTAGATAATTCACATTATCAGAGTACCCGGAAATAACTTTGTTTCTAAAGCAATTCGGGTACTTTTCACTGCACTGCTACCTTTACTTATGTATATCGACCACATTCTTCTGCTTCGCCCGAATTCAATATACACTATGGCAGAAAGTAAGTCGCAACTTCTAGTTCTACCACATAGTATGTAAGTTTAGAATCCAATTTCAATTCCAAACTGATTCATCACTGTCAATGGGGAATGATAACTGCGTAGTTTTGCTTTTGTTTTCCGAGTATGTATGTTTGCTGATTTCCAAGAATACACACACAAGCGCAGAATAATTCAATTTGATGACATTTTTATCGCCAACAAGAACTTCACAGAACACTGACTAATTGCCAAATTTGTTCTGTACAATCACATAATCAAACGAACAAAAAAACAAAAACAAAAAAAGAACTTGACACCCACCTGAGAATAAATTGAAAAAAATGAATTGATAACCCAGAAAAGAATCTAAAAAACACACATTTCGTGCCGTGAACAAACAAGCAATTAAATTGTAAAATAAGTGAAACAACTATTATTTGATTTATTGCCGCATTGTTTTGCTAAACCAACAATTGGTGTCTAATTGGCGCAATTTTATAAAGCTATGTACATACTATATGTACAATTACAAGTAAGTATAAGAGAATTGGAGTCGCCATGGCCTGGAGCCCTGGGCGCTTTTTATGGTCTGGCAGACCATAAAACAGCAGCAAACGAAAGAAGTTGGTTGCCAGGCCAAGAAACCGGCAGAGACAGATTCGTGTTATTAGATTTCATGTCTAATTAAATTTGTGTGTTTTGCCATTAAATCATTAAAATTATCGACTTGCCTAGTTGGTGAAGGCATTTTCGTTAGTTGAACTTCGCGTTCAATTCAACCTGTCCGGGTACATTTTCTTTGCTGTTGCTGCTGCGAAAGCAACTGCGGCTGTGGCTGCTGCATAATGAAGGCAATAAATATAAATTTCACATGCAAACAGAAACAACAGCAACAACAACAACAACAGCAATACAACAACAGCCTCCACTGGTGTCGTCATTATATTGTTTGCGTTGTAGACGCGTTTGTAACGCTGTGTGTCGATGTGTTCATAGCGGTTTCATGTCAAAACAAAAAGGGAGACGCACCATCATCGCTCGAGGGGTGGCAGCATTCCCCCAGCCGGGCATAAGCTGCCTAGCCCGGTCACGGGCAGAAACACGGACACGCTGACGAGTGCGGAGGGTCGGTGTGTTCGAAGTGGAGGCCGGAAGGTAGCTCGTAATAAGCTAAACGAGAAACAAGTAACGCATTTGTCTTGATGCTGTACTGATAAAAAATCCCACTCCCATTTCCACTCCCATTTCCACTCCCATCCAAAGAAGGGGAAGACCGTTCCTTCGTCGTTCGTTCGCTCTTTTGGGCATATTGAGCCATCAGCAAAAAGGGACGAATGTCTGTGTCTGGCAGCAACATCAAAAGTCGTTGCCGGGTAAGGGGGCACATGCTTTATAGGGGGCGGGTGGCATCTGATGGTGTTGTTGATTGCCGCGCATTTGCAGCGCCACAAATGTTAGCATTTTGCAACAACTACTATGCAGCATGCCCATAAAAGTGTCCAGAGATAGAGACAAAGGACTAGGCATTTAAAATTAGCAATTTGGCTGGCATCAACAATATCAATCAAATTTACTTTGGGGACCGGGACCAGGACCAAAACCCAGACCTAAAATGCACACTATTCTCACAGTTACTAAATTATGTTCAACATAGGATATTGCGCTTGAGGTCCAGCAAAGCAAAAACGTAATTTATTATTGAAAGCAATCCCAAGAAGAAAGTAATAAATGTTGCAGGTCGTATGTAATTTATGTGCAAATCAATTTGTAACATAAGCCCAACAAAAATGAAAGAAAAAACCCGACACCATGTTACACTTGGAAAAAGAATTTACTTCAGCTTTCAAAGCAACCAGTAGACTATTTTGAGAAAGCAGGACCGAGAATGAAATCTTGTGATTGGCTTACTTTTAACCACAAATAATAATGACCTTTATAAAACCCTATTGTTGATAGTGGCAAATAGTTTGTCATATAAAAAATTGAAATAGTCAAAGAAATTCTAGGTCAGCGCTTGGTCTACATAAGTACATTGATTAGGCATTACTTCTAGCCATCATTCTTCGGATTCTAGGGATTCTAGGGACTTACAGTAATTACTTCCTTTTTTGTTAAAAATCAAGCATGTTGTGACTTTGGTTTTATTTGTAAATTTTGGGAGCAATTTATTTATTTATGTTAACGTGTTGGCCACTTGTGATGCCTAAATTGCGTTTGGTTTTTTATTCAAAGGTCAATTTTCAATTGCTCCGTGTTAGCAATATTCTTTGCTATTTCCATAATCTGCGTTTTTGGTATATCTGTGAGATCTTTTAAGAAGAGTTTCCCTGGACAAGTTTGAGTGAATCTCTAAAATCGGGGCAATAAAGAAGGTAGTCTAAGCTATTTTACTCTTCCTTAACTATATCGCAATTATTAAATGATATTCCGAATGCCCCACTGCCGTGGAAACTTCAATACTTTACACTTTTACGAGTTAGCCATATCAACATAGATTTTGTTCTTATTCAATATTGAAAAATGTTATTTATGTTTAATTTATCTTTTGTAATTTTCTTAATGCGATCGTTACTAATTTGCAGTGTAAATATTTATGAACTTATAGTTGAAGTTTCCTCCAACAAAGTTTCCTTTCCTGAAGTAACAAATATTTTCTGAGTGTCAGTATTAGAAGGGGTGCGAAAAACTGCACACGTGTGTGTTTGTGTGTGTGTGTGTGAATTACGCTTGTTACACAAACACTCACGCACATTGCACATGAGAACATTAGGCGCCTGTTATATAGGCACTCGGACACGCCCAGTTAATGTTTTGATTTATACTCACTGTACGCCCCTGTTCTGTATCATAAAGACAAAATGTGGGCGTTAAGTTAGCGCTGCTGGCAAATTGCGTCA